GCACAGGCCGTGGAGGAATGCTGCTTACTGGCTTGCTCTCCTGGCCCCTGCTCAGTCTGCTTTCTTATGCAACACAGGCCCACCTGCCCAGGGGTGGCACCACCCACAGTGGGCTGGGCCCTCCCACTTCACTCATCAAGAAGATGCCCTTAGACATGGCCACAGGCCAGTCCAATAGAGGCAATTCCCCAGTTGAGGCTCCCTCAACCCAGGTGTGTCAAGTTGACACTAAAGCTATCCAGCACATACGGGTAAAACTGACCTGAGAATCCAGCCTTCCCCTCTTGTCACTCCTGTGCTCCATCCACCAAGGAAGCCAAGCTGCTTACTGCTCTGCATCTCTCCGCTTTTACATATTGATCCTTCTATTTAACATGCCTTTCCTAAACACTGTCACTGCTTAAACTGAGACCAACAAATACTAAGTACTGTGCTATTATCTTAATGTTATTGTATTGCCATATGTATACCTCAAGGTCTGCAATGCTAGATAGCCTATATTTTATACTAACATATGATGTATTGCTTGCCCAATAGTAAATATTTATTGAACCACATTTGCATTGTAGCTTTATGAAAGTGAGACGTATTCTAAACCATTTTGCTTGAAGAGACAGATGCAGAAATGTGCTGCTGGAGAAAGTGGGCTAAAGGAACTTAAAAATTCCTGAGAGACAAAATATCACTGCTGGTTAGAGAATGAGCCTACTAGTTCTAAAGTTATAAAAGCACTACCTATAATTCATAATTTCAAAAAGAAAATACCAGGAACTAGTGACCATGAGGGGCAACAGGCACTCACACGTGGCTGATGGAACGCAGAGTTGTAGAACTGCTCTGGAGGAGTCTGGCAGCTATGTATGAAGTGAAACACACTTCTATTTAATCTAGAGAAATTAAATCTTATGCCACCATAAAAACCTGCAATAGGAGAGTTTATACCTTGATGCAAGATTACTGAAAACTGGGAACCAAATGCCCTTCGGCTGATGAATACTAAACAGGTTATGGGGTACCCCATGGAGCACTTGTTGTAAGGCAGAGGATTCATCGCTAATGAAAACAGTCATTCTCAAAAGCTTAGACACTGTATGATCCCATCTGTTGCACATTCTAGAGAAAAAGTTATGAGAAAGTTAGGTGTGTGGCTGGCAGGGTATGGCTAGATTATACCAGGGCAGCAGTGCAGGCAAGGGAACTGTCTTCATCACGACTGTGGTGCTGGCAGTGTGACTCCACAAGAGTGCTGACATTCACAAAACTGTACACCACAAACTTTACTTTACTGTATGAAAAATCTTAAATACACAGACTGCCTAGGCCTGAGCACAAGCTCCCTTTCTCTTCCAGGGTTTATCCTGGGGAAGGGGGACTAGGACCAATAAAGCAGCTCTGAGGCGGGTACTGGGAGGCTGAGACTGGGGATTCACCATGAAAGGCAGGTTGAGAGGTAATGCTCTGAAGTGTTAAAGGAACGCAGATAACCGCAGAGTAGACAAATCCAAGAACTCAACAAAGCGCTGCCTCCCTGGTGCCCACCCGTCGATGACATCACGATCATTGTCTTCATTCTGTCATTTTGTGATGTTTAGGCTACACATATAGCTTAAGAAAAAGTAATTTTCACAATAAATCTATTTTTATTTCAGTGTCTTAAATCTAAAAAAGGGGGGTGACTAATCAGTTGGCTGCAATTTTTGCATCAAAAGTTTTGAATTACAAAAAATATCTTAAAGGTCTAGTGGAAATGAACCCTGAGGTTAATCATTTGAAGAACAGTCCTCTGTACATCTGTCACTTCGGACCCATCTGCTGGGCCGCTGCCTTCCCCATCACCCTTCCGCTTCCCATCCGCTCCTCCCTTCCCTTCTGCCCTCACAAGCAATCTGACACAACCTTTCCTTCCTCTATAACCCTAGAAAGCTGCCACAAACCTGAATTATCTGCTTTCATTGCAAATGAATTAAAATAGTTAATGGTGAAGGTCAAATGCAGTGATACTCTCTAAGACACAACAATAGGAATATATAGTAATCAAACATGACATTTTATTTACTGAATACACATAACACTAATTTCTTTTAAAAAACATGTATCATTTAAATTATGACTTCTTCCATATATCTGGCTATTAATGTTGGAGTACTCAGAACAAGTTTAATAAAGCCAACTACTAAATGTTGTACAATATATTTACATACTATGGCAGAGTCAACCTGTGAATCATTTTGTTGGCCAAGTTACATGAATACTGAAGCTCTTAAACAGACACTCCAAAGTGTACCCCGAGTTCCAGGCACTTGTCTAAGAAAAGAAAAGCTCCCTAGGGGAGGCCTGTGGGGTGTGATTTTTATGAGTAAGCCCTCCACTGAGATGGGACTGTAAAAATGAGCTGTTTGAGATGACAAAGGCTCTTTCCAGTTACCAAATAACTGTTTTCTTTTGTTCCTTCACAAAGCAAGAATGATTTCTTTTGCAAACCCTGATGGTGACAAAAGCCACCAGTGTTGAAGGCACACTGCAGAAAAGGCGTCTAGCCAAGACTGCCATTCCTCTGGTCCTTGCACTCAGCACCACGTTCACACAGCATTAACGATTAATTTTTTTAAATAAAACATTTACTCTGTGTACACAGTGTGGATATGGATGTCAGAGGACAACCTGTGGGAGTCAGTTTTCTCCTTCCCCATGTGGGTTCTCAGGATTGAACTCAAGTCATCAGGCTCTGCAGCAAGTGCTGACCCACTCACCTATTACTGAGCCATCTGGCCAGCCCAAACTAAAATTTTAAAGAAGAAAAAGAAAAATGCTCCCTGGGAACCCACGTGGAAGCTTTCCTTTTAGGCAACAATAACGATGGCCAGGAATGAAAGGGAGGAGCGGGGAGGACATTAGCAAGCACAGTCTGACCCTCACTGTCAGAAAGCAGGGCTGCTGGTGGGTCCTTTCCAGGAGAATTCTCCACCTATAAATGTTTGGTTTCATCCTTAGAACTATACTGCTTGTCAAAAAAATATTTTTAAATTTCCAGTATCCTTCTAACGGATTTCAGAATCAACTAGAAATTTCAGATACCTAGTCAAGAAATTATTGGGTCATAGAGGATTATGTCAGAATAGACTACAAATGCTTAAATAACTTTCCAGGCCTAAAAAGCATATTTTATTTTGGGGGCTTCTTTTTGAGACAAGGTCTCCCTATAGCCCCAGATGGCCTGGAACTCACTATGTACATCAAGTTGAACTAGATCTCACAGAGATCTGACTGCCTCTGTCTCCCGAGTGCTGGGATTAACTGTTATTTTAAAGCTAAAGTACTTAGGGCAGTATTTTGAACTAAGACTTGTAAGTATAAAGTTAATGCATATAAGTATAGATTTAATGTGACTTTTCATAAATAACTAGTATATTACTTTTTCTAACATAAAAATCTTTTCCTTGAATAGCTGTATCATTTGTTGTATTATACTAATGAACATCTTCCATGAGGAACTCACAAATGAAAATTCTGAGGTTAATATAATGTAATCTTCAATTACTTTTTAACATTGACCAAATATTTTTTTTTTTGCTCTTAGAAAATAAATGAATCACTGGTTCTCGCTTGAAAACCTTTGATCACTAGCACAGGACATGAGCTGCTCTCCTGCGGTCTTCTCAGGAAGCTCTTCAGTCCTGGGAATATCCTCTTCATACTTCTTCTTGAGATTACTTAAAAACATCCGTAACCTGTCTGGGTCCAACTGAGAGTTTCGAGCAGTCTGAACAAGCCTAGTGGCTAGATGGTACACAGCTCTCTGTCTTTCCACTTCAGGAGAACTCTTCTGATTTTGCTGTTATTAAAAAATATGTGTATCAATATGTAAATGGTCATTTAAATTATATCTGCACTATTTATCTCTTTTCATAGAAATAGGAATTCAAGGTTCATCCCTTTAAATAAATCAGGTCCACCTATCCAGATATAGATATAGATATACAGATATAGATGATGTATGTAGGCATACATATACACTTACATATACACACATACATACATGTAGAGAAACATATTTAAAGAAATACTATTTGGAAGAATTAAATTCCTCATGAACATTTACTTGATAAAAGGCCCTTCCTTATATCCTTGAAAAATCACTTTTAGACATCAAAAAAATCCTGTTAAATCGGTCAAATTCCTCAACAAAATACCAAAAAAATGCAGAAAATCCAGCAGAAGTAAGTTCTGTCAACGCTTTTTGTTTTGAAAGACATGGGATGGCAGGGACAGTGCTGTACATCTTAATTCTAGTAATCAAGAGGCAGAAGAAAGCAGATCTCTGTGAGTTCAAGGCCAACCTGGTCTACATAGCAAGTTCCAGGCCATACAGAGCTACATTATGAAACACTGTCTCGACCCCCCACTTCCCCCAAAAAACAGGCACGGGAAATGAGCTCTATTCACTGATGTGCAGTAACCATACTTTCAGTGTCACCCAGGAGCATGACTCTGCTGTCTCTGTTTTATGTACTAAACCATAAACTGGTGAGCAAGATGAGGCATCAGAAAACCACTTGCCCCAGAAGAGAGTTCAGATACAAAAATTGTTAAAGCCTAACAGAAAATATCACCTGAGGAGTAAAATGCATTTTAAAAATAAACATAAATTAGTATTTGAAATTGCACCTTATTTTCTCTTTTGGTCTTGGATAGAGACAGGGTCTCCCTGTAGCCCCAGCTGGCCTGGAACTCACTATGTGAACCAGACTGGCCTTGATCTCACAGGGATCTGTCTGGCTCTGCCTCCCGAGTGCTGAGATTAAAGGCGTGCACTACCACACCTGGCTTAATTCCTGAACTATAAAGAGAAATCAACATTTCTAGCCCTACTTATGGAAAATCTTAGCGAGTTTCCCAGAAATATAATCCTTTCAGCTTTCAGTGGCAAACAATTCCATATATATTTCTTTTACTATAGGAAAAAATGAGTAGCTTCTATGAACTAAAATAAAATGATCACATATTTGAATTATTACCAATTAGTCTTATTTAAATAAAGATCATTGGATATCTGTTATCTCCTATGTTCAAGGCACCAAAACTTGTGTTTAATTTTATCTGTGGGGACTACAAAAATGTATAACTGGGGGCTGGAGAGATGGTTCAGCAGTTAAGAACAATGGTTGTTCTTGCAGAAGACCCGGGTTCGAATCCCAGCACCCACATGGCAGATAACAACTGTCCCTAACTCCAATTCCAGGGGATCCGACAGCCTCTCTGTCTTCCGCGGGCATTGCACGACACAGGTGCACTTACCTACATACATGCAGGCAAAACACTCATACACATAAATTTTTTTTTTTAAAAAAGTATAACTGAGGGCTGGAGAGATGGCTCAGCAGTTAAGAGCACTGACTGCTTTGGCAGAGGACCCACATTCTGTTTCCAGAACCCACATGGCGGCTAACAACCATACATAAAGTAATTCCAGTTCCAGGGGATCTGATGCCTTCTTCTGGCCTCCCCAGGCATTGCATGATACAGGTGCATGATAAATGCAGGCAAAATATTCATAGCACAGAATTATTTTTAAATGTATAACTGATATAAAAATGGAACCCAAGCAACTTACACTCTTCTAGTAAAAAGGAATGTTTATGCTTGATTGCAGTAGTTATACAAAGTCCCCTAGTGAGGAGAGATACAAAATGCTCATAGAAAGAGACACTCAATTCTAGCTCAGGTCAAGCAAAGGTTAAATAAAATGGAGAATCTGGAACCAATTTTCACAAACAGAAGTACCCAGAAGGGACAGCATCTGGACAGAAACAGCTAGAACAGGCACATTAGAGACTTGACACATAATCATGAAAGTAAGCAGCTCAGTGTAACAGAAATGCAAATTATATGAATCTGAGTGGAGTGGTATAAAGCTGGTGTGGCATATAAAGAGGGGGTCCTAACAAAATCAGCAAACTAAAGGGTTTTAAAAAGACAAATTCTTGAGTCACAGGAGACTTGAAAATCCAGGATGGAATCCAGGATCCCAGGTGATCCTAAAACTATAATTTGAGAAGTAATTACTGAAGACTTGACAAGAGGCTAAAGAGCTCAACTTTAACTTGATAAGCAATGACTGACAGCTTTTGATTAAGTGTGATAATTATGCTCTGGGAGACAATGTGGAAAGGGTAGGACAGGCTGGAAGAAAAGGGAATCTACCAGACAGTCTTAATGAGGAGTGCTCAAGATCCGTGATGGCGCTGATGGGAAGGGAGATTTGGAAGTGGGAAGATGAGAGGGTTTTTCAGAAGATGATAATTAATTAGATTAAGATATTAAGGGAAATATTGAGAAAACCCAGATAGAGTCAGTTAGCAGAAACAACAACAGAAGTAAAAATGATCACCAAGACTAGAAACGTAAGGCGTTGGCAGACTGCTTTCAAACACACATTTAGTTAAGTGGAAAAGAAAAGGCTTTGCTTAGTGAGGGAAAAAGCATACTTATAGATGCACAAGTGCAGACTTCCAGGGGAGAAGACGTCATCACTGCTGGGACAGAACCGAGGAGGGAAAGCAGCAGAGAGGGAGGGACACATCCGTGCAGAGCAGAAGTGGCAAAAAGGTCATGAACTTCTGAGTAGCCGCAACTTAAGAGAAAGTTTCGGGAGAGTGATGACAAGATTCGGTCTGTAAAAAGGTAGTGGAGAAGCAAGAAAAGATTACAAAGAGGAGACATGAGATAATAGTCTAAGACGTGGGGTAAAAATATTTCTTTGGGCCAGGCATGGTCGCACACGGCCTACATAGCGAGTTCCAGGCCAGTTGGGGCTTCAGGGAGACCCTGTCTCAAAAAGACCAAAAAAAAAAAAAATTCTTTGGGAAGAAAACTAAGAATATACTCAAGGAGAAAGGAAAAACCAAAGAAGAAAAGGAGAAGGCAACCCAGTCGTAGTGGAGACTGAGAAGGTGGAAAGCCAGCCTGTCTGAAAAGGGAAACTCCTTTAAAGCCTGATAATGTTTACATGCATACCTTAAGAAGCTTCTATGGTGGTAGGTTTCCATAGGACTTCTTCTAAAGGCCTTTAGTGTGAGTTATCCTTGCCCATCCTCCCTCCTCTGCTCTGCCCTCCATTCCCCACCCTAGGGTCAGTAACAGGGGGGCACTGACCCTTCTAGACATCATTGGCTAACGGAAAAAAATCCTCAATGCCAATAATGGACTCTCTCTCTCTAGAAGCTGTTAACCATGGTCCCATAGACCCTCAAACAACACTGGCCATTGCCAGTTGTCTGTTCTTGGTTATCCATCAGAACTTGATGGTAAGACCCTATTACTGAAGATTACATACATAAGCTGTAGAACAAAGAAAGAAAAATCCAAGCTGACACTGACTTTTGAGCCTTATCTCTACTGGTTAGCTTTCATAGTGCTGCTGTAAAGGGCTATGCATGCCACCAGAAGGAAAAAATAATCATCAGCCTCACCCAGCTGTGAATCCTGTGAACTACAACTACTGGTCTGGCAAGGTATGTCCACCAGTGCAATAGTGGCGTGAATATTATAGGAGTAAATGGCCACTTTCTATGGATTTAAGGTCCACTTCATAGGATGGATTCCATAACTGACATTGATATCAGGCTTAGGAACTTCAGGTTAAACAGGTCACGAGACAGGGGAGAGCAAAATACTAGTTTTATGGTAGTTATAGTATTAAACTGACTCCTAACGGCTTATGGTTATACCCATAGATTAATGCATCTCAACTCTAACCAGAGAAGTTTCTTTATGCAGGAGATTGTGATTAACACAGAAACCCACAATTGGCCAGTGTGCAGAGAACAAGAGGCAGCATGGTGCTTATCCCTGAATAGGACACCTGTGTCAAACTTCTGTCTTCTAACGTTCAGGGATCATTGTGGAAGACAGGGCAGAAAGATTTTAAGAGCCATAAGTGGTGGATGACCACAAGGAAATAAGAGCTTTCCAGAGAGCCAATCAGTGACTCATATGAACTCACAGCATGCATAAGTTCCATTCAACCTCAAACCAGACAAAATCCCAGTATAGACGTGGGGAAGTAAGTTAAGAAACCCCAACCGAACCTAAAGAAACTGTGACAACTGATGGCTGTGGGAGGGGCAGGGATGATCTCTTTCGAGCATGGAACTCAGTAGGTTAATCAGGCTCCAGGGATGGACCTACACTGAAGAACATTTGAGGACATGTACTAGACTCTATAGACTTTATAATATAGAGAGAGTACATTAAATCAGGTAGGGGGCAATTAGGGGAGGTGTAGCTAGGGGACGGGATGTAAATACCATCAGATTACATTGTACGAAAATCCCCAAAATTCAATAAAAGAAAAATGTTTTTTAAAAGTCTGAAAAGTACCTTCTTCCTCTGAGACAGGCAAGACTGGTGAGAAGAGAAGCTCTAACTACAAAACTTTCAGGAATTCTGCAGAAGAACTCAAGGTGACTTCAGGTTTCTTTAGAAATGTATCAGGGCTGGAGTGACAGCTGGGCAGTTGAAAGCACTGGCTGCTCTTGCGGAGGACCCAGGTTCAGTTCCCAGCACCCACATGGAGGATAACAACTGTCCTAACTCCAGTTCCAGGGGATCCAATATCCTCTTCTGTCCTCCATGGGCATTACACATACACGGTTCTATTCTACATGCAGGCTGAACATTCACAGACACAATTTTTTTAAAAATAAGGTTCTAAAAGTGCATCAGATAAATTATCTTCAGGGAATTAGGACACTGAAAACTCAAAGCAAACAGAAATTTCTTGAAAGAAATACTGTAAAGAAGTCAGGGATCAAGAAGAGAAATGATTATCCAGTAAAATATTCAACTGAAGTTAGAATATATGCATTTTCAATGGACAAAACGATCCTGTCTTTTGAGTGCTATTAGGAAAGTCAAAGCCTGGAAGACTAAAGGAGAACTGGCCTATAACTGGAATTTGACATGATGGAATCTGAAATTGGATCATCAAAGGTTCTTCAAAGTGAGAGCACTGTACAGGCGGCTGGTAAAGGGTCAAGTGGGCAATGTAGCAACTGAGGCCAGGGACTGTCAGGAAGTCAAAGAAAGAAAGAACACAGTAAAGAATGTCAGACAAGCATAATGCTGCTGTGGCCTGCAAATCCCAGCACTTAGGAAGCTGAGGCAGAAGGATCAGGTGCTATAGGCCACCTGGGCCACCAGTCCCTTCTCTTCAAACCAAACCAACAAAACAGATAAGTAAACCAACAAAAAGACAGGTTTAGAAAGACTTGGGAGACAACTATTCTTTCAGAAAACTTGACACCACTTCTAGTTTAACATACACAACACAGTAGATTTATGAAACAACCCAAAGAGAAAAAGATTTCAAATTTTGGGTCAACATGTGGGATTTCAGTGCTAGGCCTACAGTAGTTCCTAGCAGATCACTTCACTTCTATGAGCCTGTAAAACTGAGAGTAGAACAGTGCTTTTGTAATTTCCCATTCATTAAAAGGACCTAACTACTTCCTGAAGAAAAGTGAAGCTTAACATATGATAATGGATAAAAGAACTTTGGAAAACTATAAAAAATAAAAATGTCATAAGAGAACTCTGAAAGCTATAAAAATAAATGCTTTTTAACACTCATTCAAATATATTTACTTTCTAAACGCTAACAGCCATCACTTATAGGAAGAGAATTGTTTAACTTTTGTATCTTACTAGCTGATTTGCTAGCAAAGTTATAACACACCAATCTAAAAAAAAGATTTTCTTTGCTTAAGAATTAGGTTTTCTATTTTAAATATGCTAATTATTAATAACGTATAAATCAAAAGCCATAATAAAAATCTATACTTCAAATGTCTTAACTTAGATCATTCTAATTTCTAAGTTTCCTACCAAAATCTGCCTGGCGATTTGTGCTGTGATCTCTCTGGCGTCCACAAGGATTGACGGTGGGAGGGACGAGGCCTCTGCGGCTTTCAGTCCTGAAATCACAGAAGCTGATCAGTTTGTCACTTCTAGGTTTCCTTTTAACTGACTGTAATATTTTTTTTTCACAGACTTAAATACAGGCATTTCTGAACTAACCAACAATTCTCAGAACTAAGCTTTCCAAAGTGACAACATATCAATTATCAATCACTTGTCTAAAATATGTAAGGTAAATTAAAATATTAATTACTTCATAACAAACCTCTGAGAACAGAAAGATAAGCAGTTGGGAAGTATGTTAAATTCCAATTACAAGTTGTGTAATGACTTTTCTGGGAAAGCCTTCTGTTACAAATGGGAATTTCACTTAGCCTTATACCAAAAGTTAATCTTATGCTTTGAGATCATCTGCACTATCTACTCAATCTGGCTTCCTACTAGAATCAGCTTATTTAAACTTAGCTAGCCTTTAGGAAAATAGTGTAAACAATCTGACTAGGCCTTGGGCTCCTCCAGCAATCAACTTTTACAAGCTAAGCACACAGCTTTAATCTTACCCTAGGTTTCTTATGTCTCCCTCATGATTCGTCGTCGCTTCTGGCTCAGAATAATGTGCGTGTGTGTGTACATGTGTGCGTGTGCATGCATGTGTGTGTGCATGTTTGTACATGTGTGTGCGTGTGCAGTGAAAACATCAGTCCTGAAAGCAGTGAAGCTGGCGGCAACAAATGGCCGACAGTCTGCACAGCGAATGGGAGGAGGGATGAGACTGAGAACCTCTGCTTCTGTTTCTGGTTGTGTGCTGTTCTGGGTCAGAGCAGGTCAGAACAAGAAAAGACCTTCTCTGATAAGACCAAGCTCCTCAGGTCTGTGCCATGTCATGCTGGACGTACTGCATGAATAAAGGAAGTACACCCTGGATTGGAAGGACAGTCCTGAGAAAACTGGGAAGGAACGGGTTCAGAGAACAGACCATGCTCACTCTCTCGGTTTAAATGAACCCTGGGAGCCACTGTCTTTGCTCAGGTACGCTGCATGGTGGCATCTCCGCCACAGCAAACACAGTTGGTTCATGGGCAGCGCAGGAGTACCTGGGCTTTTCAGGTGTGAGAGTATCTGGTCATGCAGCTGCATGAGCCTCTATCAAGCAAGTCTATGACTGAAATTCCTCAGAGGACACAATGCTAGGTGACTACTCCCCCTGCAAATTCTAAGAATCAGCTATGTATCTTGTCTTTAGTTTAAATCTGTGTAAATGCCACTTTATAGGCATTCTACGTGTGCCAACAGTTATCATCCCTGTGGCTTTAACAGCCACAGGAGCAGCACCAACACCTGCTGAGCAAACACTAGATGCTGGGCTCGCTGAGGTAGGTGACTGACATTTGAAGTTATTGAGCCTTGATGACTCCCCATATATGACAAGTTATCCTGTCTCACAGGGTTTCAGAGATGATGAAGCTGAGAATTACAAGGATTAAGTATCTGATGCAAGCAAGTTATTCAGTCCATTTCCCATCTTAAATAGTAAAGATTTTTTTTCCTCACAGTGACATTAGGAACCTTCTGTGTTTGGGTTATTTTTGCATGTCACATGATGATTTGCATAGAAAGCAACTAACAAATGTTTTAGAACATCATGGTTTAGTAATACATTCCATTTTAAGTTGGTTTTTTAAAATTATTTTGTTTTTATTTTATGTGTATGAGTGTATTGCCTGCACGTATGTGAGTGCACCTGTGTCGTCCAATGCCGTGGAGGTCAGAAGGGGGCTTCAGATCCCCCTAGAACTGGAGTTAAGGACGGTTTGTAGCTGCCATGTGGGTGCTGGGAATCGAACCCGGGTCCTCTGCAAGAGCAGTCAGTGCTCTTCACCACTGAGCCATCTCTCCAGCCCCATTTTAACTTTTTTATATTTAATTATAAAATACCCCGAAACTGAAGAAAACAAAAGGACGTGGTATGAGTGTGGAAGGAATTCATGATTTTCAGTTTAATAAAAAATTCAAACTAAGTAACACTTTTGTATTGTTTTCTTTTTTTAGAACAAGGTCTCTGTAGCCCCAGCTGTCCTGGAATTCACTATGTAGACCAGGCTGGCCTCAATTTCAAAGATTCCCCTTCCACTGTTTCCTGAGTGCTGGGATTAAAGGTGTTTACTACCACACTGGCTTCTACGTTACATTTTCTTTTGTTTATTTTTTTTTTTGGTCTTTTTGAGACAGGGTCTCCCTGTAGCCCCAGCTGTCCTGGAACTCACTATGTAGACCAGGCTGGCCTTGAACTCACAGAGATCCACTTGCCTCTGCCTGTGCCTCCCAAGTGCTGGGATTAAAGGCGTGTGCCACCACGCCCGTCTCTAAGTTACATTTTCTAAAAAAATAAAAATTAAAAAATACTTCTAGGACTTTCATGTACCATTGTATTTCTACAGTGTTACTAGTTCAGTTAAAAAGAAAGAGAAGCAGCCGGGCATGGTGACGCACGCCTTTAGTCCGAGCACTGCAGAGGCAGAGGCAGGTGGATCTCTGTGACTTCAAGGCCAGCTTGGTCTTCAGAGTGAGCTCCAGGACAGCTAGGGCTGTCCACAGAAGAATGGGAGGGAGGGGCAGCTGCGAACACTGACAGCCGCATACAAGGGAGAACACATCGTCTTTGTCTTCAGAGAATGTGTGTTGTTTCGAGGATTGTGCGCAATTTCTATATACAATACCATAGTGTTTTTCTTCTGTGAGTCCCTTAGAAAGTCTGTAAGTATACAAAATTGCGTCTTCATTTCTTGAGGTATTCTTTACATGCTGAACTTCAAAATGCATGTTTTCTACATTGGGATATAGGCTATCTATATGGCACAGTTCCAGGAAATGCGTAGCGAACAGTGTAAATGCCTAGAACATAGAACAGATGGTGGATATTAGTACTTTTAACATTACCAAAAAATTCTATTTCTACTATTTAAACATAAGACAGTGCCTCACTTTTCCAACTAGCTTAGGAATGAATGGGTGTCTTGGAGACAGTGCCATCAGTTCCGGTTTTCAGATCTTATATTCAATGAAAGAACATCTTTATGCTTGCACATATGTTACACTATGGAAAAGAACAAATACCAAAGTAAAAGATGAAGTTTTCCAGAGATAAAGCTATTAACTGGGGTAGCCATTCATTAGAGAGGTACCCCACAACCCATGTGCATACACAATTGTAGTATTTTCTTCAACATTAAAAAATCTCACTGAAAGTTTTCCTCCTATAAGGAGTATTTCAAAGATGGAATTAACGGATTATCTTAGGTTTTTAGATTCTCAGTGGTTTTACGGGTTGTTTTCTAATTTCTTTTTCAGTGCTGGGATTGAACCCAAGGCAAAATTCCCTACATTTGCAGTTTTACTAAGCAAAGAGAGATCCGAAAAACTCAAATATTAATAGGCCTGCATTTTTAGCACTTGAGAAACTGAAGTTAGAGACCAGTCTGGGCTAGAGAGAGAGTACCATGCCAGATAACAGGTTTATATGGCAAGACTATCTCAAAAAAAAGAAGGAAGTAAAGAAAAATATTTGGCTGGCAAAATGTCTTTAACCAAGGATGTTAAGGAAAGATTTGGCATATGACCGAACAATGGCGATTCCCAATAACCCATTTCTTGTGGTTTGGACAGGCTGGCATGTGGCCTCCATAGGCTGCCTGCTGGAAACCTGGTCCTTGATGTGGCAATCCTGGGAAGCATGGGGCCTTTAAGAGGTGGCACTAAGTGAGAGGTAATTAGGCACTGGGGCCTTGCTGGTGGGATGGGTTAGTGCTGGTCTCAGAAAGTGACTCTCCAGGGAGGGCACTCATATAAAGGGTGACTAAATGGCCTCTGGAGTAAACTACAGAAGCTAAGAACCACGTTCAAGTACAACAATGTCCTTAAATATCATGTTTCAAGTGTCGATGATGCAGCTCAGTGGTAAGCATACTTGCTTATCACATGCCAGGCCTGGATCAGATCCTTGGCAGCATCACAAAAAACTTTGTAAACTCTCTTTCAAGTTAATTCAACATAAAAAATTACTTTTTCAGGGTCTATAAATTACAAGTATTATGCTAAACACCAAAGATTCTAGGTTAGAATGTTAACTTTAAGCATCTTAAAAGTAATTAGCAATATATGCTTTCTAAATTATTTCTATGAGGGAAAAAAAGGATTTTAAAGTATCACTTAAGATTAAGTATCACTTAAGTATTCTAGAATACCACAGAAATGGATATTGTATTAGTCAGGGGACTCAAGAGAGAGAGACTGACGGGGGTGTGTGCGTGTATGTCTATATGTCTATGTATAAACTCATGAGAAGGACTTGGTTCCTAACAAGTTCTAAGACCAACAGATGGTAAGCTAAAGATTCAGGAAAACCATTGACATAATTCTAGCCTAAATGCTGGCAAGCTTCAAATTCAGACATAGGAATATGCTTGAGCTGAGAAGCCCTCTCAAGACCGAGGACAACCAGACAGGAGTTCCTTTATCTCTTGAGGCACAACCTTTCTGATCTATCCAGGCTTTCAGCTTACTGGGTGGTGACCGCCTCATCAAAAAGGGCCATCTTCTTTGTTCAAACAATTTAGATGCTCACCTTTAAAAAATGCCCTCACAGATACATTACAAACAACGTTTAACCAAATATCAGAGCACTCTGTGGCCCGATCAAATAAGTACATAAAATGAATCATCACAGATATTAATTAGTTGTTACTCTTTTGGTTATCTGAGAAATTCTGGTTGGTATTCAGAATTATACAAAGATACTATATATTGACACTAACTTTGATTTATCACATACTTTAAAATATTTAATGTGTATGAGTATACATATTGCTTTCATGTATCTAAGTTCACCCATGTTGTGCAATGCCCGTGGAAGTCAAAAGACAGCATCGGCTCCCCTGGAACTGGAGCTAAGGATGGTTGCTAGCCACCATGTAGGTGCTAGGAATCAAACATAGGTCCTCTGCAAGAGCAGCCAGTGCTCTTAACCACTGAGCATCTCTCCAGCCCTTTATCACATACTTTTTGTTTAAATGTAATATAAGGTATTTATCATTCTATATAATCATTGAAGGCAAAGAGCATTTAGGAACACTTCAAATTTTTTAAATTATGAGACTGTATTCTTATGTTCCTCCTCTCTGCATATATTTTGGGTGGTCATCTGAAGTATTATTATACAACTTATACATAGTTAATTTTCAAGAAACATTTAAAGAAAAAGTCAGAGTGTGTTTTCTGTGGTTATCTCAGATATTCAGACATTATTACATGTGAAAACAATTCTGAAAGTATCTTCGTATTTTTTATTATTCAATGTGAGTAAGCTAAAACCGACAAACTTTGCATTATTTGTAGCTCTTGGCTTTTCTTCTCTCTCGTGTTTAGAATGTTATTTCCACTTTGATCATAAATAAAGACAAAAATGCTATAGTATGTACTTTCCATCTAAAACTGTTTAGAAAGCTATTTGTGGTTGTCTGTAAGATGCAGTCATGACACACATATGAGATACCCCAAAAAGACTCTAACACTGAAAGTAAACAGGGAGGTGTACCTTTAAGCTCAGCAGGTTTTCGCAGACAGCGTAAGAAATGCCAATACCTTCCTCTGTATTAGTGCCTCTGCCCAGCTCATCAATTAATATGAGTGATTTGTCATTAGCATTATGCAGAATATATGCTACCTGGAAGACATAACTCAATGCTAGTCACTGTAACCAAATGGACGCCACTATCCGAGGAAAAATCTAGAGAAATCTCTTTATTAGTTTATCTGAATGTATTTTAATAGAGAATTCCTGCTGAGCAGAAAACAGCACATAGCTTTTCTTTCTAATAGTTCCACTTGAATAGTTGATACATGCATTACAGGCATCTGCATATGTAACAACAAAATAAGTATCTACAATAAAGAGAGGCAAGACATTGAATTCAATGCTTCTCCACAAATGAGTATTGAAAACCAATTCAAATTTTATTTATTTATATTCACTAAAAATATAAAATATTTAGAAATATATGCTGGTTTAACACATTTAAGCCCATCACCAACAAACGTCAAAACTAAGTGGACAGAATGCTTCATCTCTGGAGAATGTCAACCTCTTCCTCAGAGGCTGGAATTCCACCCACGTTGAGTTACACTGAAAGGTAATGCTCATGAACATTTCACTTTCTAAGGGAGGAGGCTTCTATTTGGTGAAGTACTTCAGGGACCCAGAATATTGCTAGACTCTCCAGAGACATTCAGTACACAGAAAGCAATTGTATGAATTATGGGACATGGCAACTTTATTTACCCCTTTATCTATAATACATGCAGAAAAAAATTTCTTAACCACACAGTGACCCAGAATTCCTACCTGATACATATATACTAGGAAACTGCTTGTTCTTTCAGTCCTCAAGCCTCATGGTATTTGCCCAGATCAGAAACAGAAAATATGTTGTATGAGAAACCAGAGTTCTCCCTGTTTATCTAAGACAACGACAATTTTTAAAAGTCTTCTAACATGGGGGCTGGAAAAACGGTTCAGTGGTTAAGAGCGCCAGCTGCTCTTGTAGAGAATCTGGGTTCGATTACCAGCACCCACATGGCAGCTAACAACCGTCTAACTCCAGTTCTAGGGGATCCTCTTCTGACCTCCGTGGGCATTGCATGCTACAGGAGCACTTACATTCATTCAGGCAATACACTCATACACATAAAATTAAAGAAAATAAATAAAATATTTAAGTCTTCTAACACAATGATCTTCAATTTTAAAATCAAGCCAAAGAGAAACAATAGATTCTATGCAAAATGGTATTCAACAGGTCACTGTGTTTTAAAGTCTTAGACATTCCATATAAGAACATGCCAGCCCACTCCTATCATTCAGAGACACTACCTTTCTCCTTTAAAGCTGTAGTTTTCACTGGAACACCTACTTCCATTTCACGTAGAGCAGAAACTAGGAAGCTGTCTTTGAGTGCCCTCTGGCTCTCAGGAAGTATAAGCACACTGCCTAGTCCTGATGCCAGGACACTTAATATGGTTTCAATGTCAGGAAAGTTTTGCTTAGTTACCTCTTTCATTTCCTTCATGAATGTGGAAGAATTTGTTTCGATATCATCATCAGTACTGATTCTTGTAAAAATCTGCTCAGCGATTCTAAAGGAGGAATATTCTGCTGGAACATATGAGCCTGTGAGACAGAAGCTCAGAATAAGTGGAACTGCTTCTATGCAATATAAATACTACAACACTGGGGCTGGAGAGATGGCTCAGCAGTTAAGAGCCCTGACTGATCTTGCAGAGGACCCAGGTTCAGTTCCCAGCACCCACATCACAGCTAACAACTGTTTGTAACTCCAGTTCCATGGGATCCGACACCCTCTTGTGATCTCTGCAGGGCACTGCATGACATGGGTGCACTTACATACATTCAGGCAATACATTCATACACTTAAAAAAATAAAAAGTAAAAAATAAATACTACAACACTGCCCCTCTCCGCTCAGTCAGTGGATCCTGTGGACAGAGCAGTAGACGTGGAGCTAGCATGGCCCAGCTCCATGACCTTGAGCAGCACTGAAACTCTCCCGGCTCACCTTTCCCACCTGTTGGCCTTCTCCCTACAAGGTTATATGGAAGCCAAAACAGGGCTTTACTTAACCTGATGCTCAACTACACCAGAAAGAGATCATTTTAAGCTTCACAGAATTTAAAATAATTAAACAATCAATATTCCAAAGAAAAAACTTGAAGGACATCCTTACGAAGCTCATATAATGAAAATGAAGGAACTGTTTCTAAGACAGATGATCAGAATCATTATAAGACAGAAAATACACGTTTTTATAAATATGTACAAATAATGCCACAGCAGAACAATAAAACATTTAATCAGAAGAAAAACAAGAGTTCTCCTCTTCTGTTAGACTGTTTTTATCAAGCTATTATGCTAGCCTAAAACACTCTGTAGATAACAAATCTGCTTAATGCATCCATCTTTCTACATAATGTGGTGTGAAAGTCATTCTAACACATATGATAACATATCCAACAGCAGACTGGGAAATGTATCACGTACACAAAACCCTGTGTACATGAAACGGTGAAACAACGGGAGGAGAAAAAGGACGATTACTCCAGGATTTAGAGCAAAGGCAGAAGGATGGAGCCTCGCTCTGAAGAATAAGGACTGGCAGGAAAAGAAAGACAAGGCCAGATATTACACTGAACGTGATGACAGCACTGGAGCCATGACTGTACACACCATTTACACGCTAGGCATGCTACATGCATCATCTCTGACACTCAAAGTAATCCACTGAAATAGCATTTTTCTCAGTTTAACAACGCAAAGGTGGAGGGTCAAGACCACCAAGTTCATAGGATGTGACTCTTCCATATCAACACATTTAAATTTTTTCTTAAGAAGCAGAGACTAGGGGTGGGGAGATGACTCCTTGGCTAAGAGCACTTGCTCTGCAAGCATGAGGATCTGAGTGTGACTTCCAGCACCCATGTAAAAAGCCAGGCATGACTGTGTGTGCTTATAACCCCAGTGCTGGGGGGCAGAGATAGGTGGATCCCAGGACCTTGCTGGCTGTCCAGCCAAGCTGAAAAACTAAGCTTCCGGGAAAATGTCCCCTATGGGCACCAAGTGTTTGGAGATGGTGGCGCTGTTTTGGAAGGCCTTAGAAGGTGTGTCTATCCTGGAGGAAGCACGCCACTGGGGGTGGGCTTAGAGAGTTAAGCCTTGACGGATCTGCAGTTGCTCTCTTGCTTCCTGTGCCTGCTTGAAGATGTAGCGCTTAGCTTCCACTCTCCTCCAGCCACCTCTGCCACTATGCCTCCCCACCCAGACGGACTGTAATTCCCCCAGAACGGTAAGCTCAAATAAATCCTTCCTTTCATAAATTGCTTTGGTCAGTGTTTCTATCACAACAGAAAAGTGACTAATACAGTGAGAGACCCTGTCTCCGGCACTAAGGCAGAGAGTGATGAAAACAGCTGTAATGTGAATTACAAGTATTGCTCCAAGAGTCAGGAAAGACTTGCTGCCTTCCTGGTGTTCTGGAGAAGGGTGCTAAGTTAGAGAAGGTTTTAGGTTCGTGCCGCCAGGGTTTAAAGCCCAGCACTGCCTCTTGGAAGTCATAAGATCCCTGACAAATTGCTCTCAATGTCTTGATTTAATCATCTGTAATACAGAGGTAACAATACTTCCTAGACTTTTATGAACAGCAATCAGATAATTAAGACATGCTTTATGATAATAAACACAGGAGTGAGAAAAAGTGCCTGGCCCCAGGAATCAGGTATTAGCCACAGGACAAGTGGAGTGGATTACAGCTGAGAACTGATCCTGGTTGACCTTAGGCAAGACTCTGAGCCTGACTTTCATTATATCCACAATCAGCAAATATTTATTACAGGCCTACTATATTAGGGTGAGTAAAACAAACACGGGACCTTGCCCTTAGTAAAGAAACTCACTTTTCTCCTAAATACAGCTCTTACAGTTTTCAGAAGCAGTAAATGGAAAGTTCCATTTAAGCCAAAAGGCCAGGCAGAAAATCCAGCTACACTAACTGGTATGTCTGTGTTTTCCCCTCTCTCAACCTCCCACAAAGGCCGTGGTGATCTAATTCCTGCCCATATCTCTCACTTAATATCCTGCCACTCCTCACAGCCACTCTGTTTACAAGGCAAAGAGCTGGGGAGCCTGTGCTGCCTGCTGTTCTTTGGGTACACCATACTGTTTCCTGTCTGGAAAGGCCCCTTCCTTTTCCATCTTCAGCATATTATCTACACTATCCCTCTCAACCCTTACAACAGCTCTTAGACGTAGCCACCACTAATATCTCCATTTGCAAATAGCACAAAGGCTTAAGAAGTTGAGTGATGTATCTCAAGAGGCAGGGTTTTGGTTCCCTGCAGGCCAACGTGGGGATTCTGGCAATGGCTGGCAGTGTTTCTGGGGGGACTATGGCTAGCGTCCCCCTGGATTAACACAGAATGCTATTACAAGTCCTCTAGAGAACAGGCAGCCCTCCCTCCTCCTCTCTTCAAAACACAGAATAGATAATACTCATATCCTGTCCCAGTTCACACTAGTCCTCAGGAAAGCTAGTATTCGGAGATGGGACGTGAAGGCATATGTAACAATGCTGGGCCAATGAAGTCACTTCTGCACATGTACATGCACACATAGGCATGAATAATATCCCAGTTATTGTAGGTATCTCTCCAGGGAGAAGTTTCACTGCCCAGTGTTGTAACTTTTGGAAAATGTCACGTAGGTCAGTACAGATGTGGCTTTTCCTACTCATTTCACCTTTTGGCACAACAAAGTTGTTTCTGAATGAGACAGTGACACGGTTCAACTTGGTAAGAACTGATACAGCATTAGCACTTATATTGAGCACATTTCTGTCATATTCCATGGCATACTACAATACTGCAATTTCAAAATGCAATCCGGCTGGAGCCTAATGAATATTAATGGTAAAAGTCCAGGTCTGTGTGACAGACACAGTATTATACCTTTTAGGTAAGACAATCTGCTCCAAATGTTTCTTGGGTTAACTAGACTCCTGACCTAAAAAAACGGCATAAAGCCCTGAATAGAGCAGCACTGGGAAGGCAACAGAAGGGTACTTACCAATCTGGGCCATGATCTGACAAAGAGCAATCTGTTTTAAATACGTAGATTTCCCACTCATATTTGGTCCAGTTATGATCAGAAAATTACTCCCTTCTGTAATGTAGGTGTCATTGGCAACAGGCTTCTCCACAGATATTTTTTCAAGAATGGGATGCCACCCCTGTTTGATTGCTAAAGTATCGGTAAACTCTGGCCGAACTGAGGAAAAAAAGAGGATGGTTTTAAAAGATGAACATATTTTATATATTGTATTTGTAAATGTATATATAACAACAATACTCAAACAAGAGGATAAAAACTTGAGTGGGACCTCCTTATCATCATCCTAGTTTCCAAAACTGTTTATAAAATTTTCACATTTGTATAAATTACAAAGAACCAAGTAGTCTTTGCTAATATTCTCAAAACAAATGATCCCATACAATTGCAAGTTTACCTGCCATACCTTAAACAAATTTGAACATACTTAGCTTTTAAAATGGAGTATAACTATACAGTAAAACCAAATATGAAAATAATTCCCTGCCCTACCCTCTTGGAAAAATATTGTGTCTAAAAATAACTTAGAAGAGGAGAAAAACAAATACAAAAGATGTGTTAGTTTGTAGAAAGAAATAGTGATCAGGCCTCTAGGGGTGGCATCTGAGGGGAGAGGAAGGGACGGTGAACAGACAGCTGAAAACAGAAGCACTGCATGCGGCTAAATGAAGCGCACGAATAAACCGCAAACCATCCATCGTTCCAGAATGTTGGTATGATGCCCCTCGAGCTAAGGCGGAGTGGTGCTATGTCACCTAAAACGTAGAAAACTACTATCAGAATTGCTGATCCTGGGCTGTGGCTCAGCTGGCAGAGTGCTAGCCAGCCCAGCCTCACATAACGGAGGTGGGGGCAGAAGAATTTGCAGGGCAAGGTCACCTTCACTTGCTGTCTCCTGTTTGAGAGCAGCCTGGATTTCAGGAGACTCTGCCCAAACCCTCTCAAAAAGAAAAAGAGTAGCAAGTAGAATTTTGATCAAAAAAAAGTTAGGAAAGAATGTTTCAGTCTCTAAAATACCAGTGAAAAAAGTTAATACTTATTATCATTTTAATTTATTATGTTATATCTAAAATTAGAAATATGAAAATCTAAAAAAATTTTAAGATACTTCTCATAAAAATCAATTAATGTGAAAAATTTGAAATATTGCTAGTTTTAATTATAAATGTTGATTTTTAAAAATAGTTTTTATTTTTTTATGTGTTTGAGTGTATTGCCTGCATGTATATGAGTGCACCTGTGTCATGCAGTGCTGCAGAAGCCAGAAGAGGGCTTTGGATTCCCCTGGGAACTGGAGTTAGGATGGTTCATAGCTGACATGTGGGTGCTGGGAACCAAACCTGGGTCCTCTGCAAAAGCAGTCAGTGCTCTTAACCTCTGAGCCATCTCTCCAGCCCCATAAATGTTGATTTTTTTAAATGTTATTATATCTGCAATTATTCAACATGATTATCACACACTAGTCCTATATATTTGCATGCTAGAGTGTGGTTATTACTGATAAGTTGAATAAGAAATTTCAAGGGGGCACTGAAGGGATAGCTTAGAGGTTAAGAGCACTGGCTGCTCTTGCAGAGGACATAGGTTCAGTTCCCAGCACCCACATGGCGGCTAACAACTGTCTCTAACTCCAGTTCCAGATCTAATGCCCTCTTCTGGCCTCTGCAGCCATTGCCCACATGTGGTACGTTTACAGACATGCAGGTAAAACACACATACACTTAACATAAAAATAAACTTTGAAAAAGAGATTTCCAGAGGCTAACTTGACTGAAGTGTTTATTTGACATTAAAAAATGAGTAACATTTCCATTTAAGGCCTATGTACAGACCTGAGATACAGAAGTAAAGAGCCCGGTTCCTGATCTTAGTGCACACTTATCTCAAGACCCAGAGCATGAAAATGCTCCCTCTGGAGATCCACTTCTCTCCCTCTGTGAGCATTCATGCATCACTTCTAATGAGTGTTCAGATTTGAACTTTGGAAATTTAGAGCACTGCCATTTTACCAAGGAGACAGCTCAGCAGTCTTTCTTATTTGGGAAAACTTTAAATTTTCTTTCAGTTTTGTTCTTTTTGATTTGCCAATTTCTAAGTAAATAATTTCTTTAATTAAAAACCAATTTTTAAGGGTTGCTGGAAAGATGACTCAGTGGTTAAGAGCACATACTGCTCTTGCAGAGGACCTGAGTTTGGTTCCTAGCACCCATGTCAGAGGGTTGCATGGTGCCTCTGGAAACCAGCAAAGGGCATTGGATTCCCTGTAGCTGGAGTCACAGGTGAATGTGGGCCACCCAAAGTGGGTGCTTGGAATCAAACCTAGGTCCTCTAGAAGAGCAGTACATGCTTTCAACCACTGAACCACCTCTCCAGTCCCCTGAAAAAATTTAAGGTTAATTTCTATCTCTATTCTGTGTCTTAGGTTAGGCCACAAATAAGATTTCAAGTAGAAAATACATGTAAAATATTCACAATTATTATATAAAACTGAGTAAAATACAGACTTCAATATGCCACGTGCTTTTGTCCCACAGGACGCAGCTCACCATAGTCAGAAAGCGTGCAGGCATGAGCAAAGGACAGCAGCATGTCCAGCATGGACACCGTGTCAGAGAGCTTATACAAGCAGTGAATGTACTCGTAGATCTCGCTGAGCAGCTTGCACACAATCCTGAAAGCGTAAGTTGGGAGTGACAGGTAGTAACGCTTTTCAAAATGTTATACTACTAAGAAATAACAGTATATTAATCATGTGAGGAAAATAATATCCACAGTTGAGTTGTTCACTACAATCTGTTGTGCTGTTGGCTCATTTTGGATAAAGAAACTGATCCTCAGCTCAAGGCCACAGCTACTTATAAAAATAACCCATCTTCTGGTGTATTAGCACCATGTTTTTGAAATGACAGCCTCAATAAGTATAAAGAGAAGAAACATTTTTCAGTAAAGTATATTTTCGAAAATAGAAAATATTTCATGTAAGTCCAAATTAACCATCACTATACTTAGACAAATTATATCTGCTACTAATCTCTCACACATACCCACTCACACACATACACAAACACAGACACACACACACACAAACACAGACACTAGATACACAAACACAGACATACACAGAGAGACACAAAGAGACACACACAAAGATACAAAGCACACACACATGCGTTTGAACAATATAATTATTTACGATTTCCTGTGGCAGGTTACACTGTGGCACACTCCAAGCCTTTTCCCCTTTCAAGGATGAATATGTGCCCCAAACTTACAACATATGACAGTGTCTGACTGTTCTGAAAGCCTAACGGTCTTGTTATTTCAGCCCACCAATTCGAAGTGCTCTGCTTCATTAGCAGTTGCTATAGAACTTCTCATGGGACTGTGAGAAGCCAAGGCCTCACAGACCACAGGAAAGAATGAGTGGAATGCAGCCCCAGATCAGCCATGATACCCAAGTTCTACATCATGGTAAATGCATGGCACAGAAGTACCAGCTAGGAGGGCAATTTTTTCCAATTAATTTTGCCTCAAGCTTTCTGTGAGGCTCTGTAGTTCTCAACATGACAACAGTATCTTTTCTAACATTCATAGTTCAAGTGTCTAAAATCAGACAAAAGTAAATGAAATCTATCATAGTTCCTCAAATTAAAACAATGTAATTCAATATTCAAATACTTTAAATGCTCTTACATATAAGTCATGTGATAGATTTCTCGCAAAGACTCTTGGCATCTTTCATTCATTTTAATTAAATCTGCTGATGTAAAACTGTAAGAGTTTTTCACTTTAGAAATCTGTAGGGAGTTAAAAGCAAATGTCAAGGTATATACTCGTGCACAGGAAATAAGGTAGGCAAAACACGGAACTGAGAAACAGGTATTCCGGTCGGTCACTTCAGATCCTGAGAGACACTATCACAGAGAAAGCTCTAAATGTTTGTGAAAGCAGAATGTTTTATAATTATTTTTTGTTTCTTAAGATAGGGTCTCCCAGTAGCCCCAGCTAGCTAGCCTGAAACTCCCAGAGATTGCCTGCCTCTGCTGGATTAAAGCCTAAAGCATATTATTTAATCTGATCTCTCCAGCATGATTACTTTGACAAGTTTTGAAATTGTCTTATGCAAGCGTCTGAAGACTACACCTCATACCAGGTAACACACATGGACAGCAGGGATGCCCATGGATTCCCCACTCTATCTCTGACCCATCTCAGCCCTTGCCCCTTATCTGAACCTCAGTCTCTAGCCTCGCAATAGAGTATCAATCTGTTCTTTACTTTATCTAAACCTCATTGCCTGGTTCTATAGTGTTTGTATGTATTATGCTTGTAAATATCTGTATCTGTCTATGAATACAGATGCACGTGTGTGTTTAAATAAATCTGAACACTAACTAGTTTGTTTCTGCAAATGTATTTGGGAAGCAGGAAAAAAAAAAGACTACAGTGGGCTATATTGTTTCAAAATGGCATACCATAGAGGAATGAACATGTGTATGAACAAGTATTCTCATGGTCCAAAGACTTAAAAATACTAGATTTTAAAAAGAAAACACATTCACCAGGCGTGGTGGTGTATGCCTTTAATCCCAGCACTTGGGAGGCAGAGGCAGGCAGATCTCTGAGTTCGAGGCCAGCCTGGTCTCCATTGCAAACCCAGGCTAGCTGCTGCTACAGGGAGACCCTATCTCAAAAAGACCAAAAAATGTTTTTAAATTTTTAAAAAATCACATACTAGGGGCTGCAGACAGTTCTGCAGTTAAGAGTACTTGCTGCCCAATCATCAAGACCAGAATTCAGACCCTAGAACTCATGTTGGGTGGCTCATAAATGCCTGTTAAGTCCAGCTCCAAGGAATCTGATGCCCACTTCTAGTCTCCACAGGCTCCTTCACACATACATGTGCACACTCAGAGAGATATAGACACAAACACACTCACACACAAATGAAACAAAAAACAAGTAAACAAATAACCTATTGGGCTAGAGAGACAGCACAGAGTTAAAAACACTTGCTGCTCTTCTAGAGGACTGGAGTTCAAATCTTAGCACCCAAGTCAGGTGACTAACAATCACTTGTTACTCCAGATCCAAGGGATCTGATCCCCTCTTTGGCCTCTGTGGGTACCCACACATTCATGTGCCCATACACTCACAGACACATATACACAAATAAAAACAAAAACTTTTAAATAAAAGAATTTTAAAAAAATTTCCCCACCTCAGAACTTTTCAGATCTTTATTAGGCATATGTGTCTGGAAATCTATCTAAAACAAAAAGTAGGGCTGATGAGATGGCTCAGCATGTAAAGGTGCTTGATGACCTGAGTTCGATCCCTGGAACCCACATACTAGAAAGAGAAAACTGACTCCCACAAGTCGTCTCCTGACCACCACATGTGCACACACAAACTAATAAACCTTTAAAATTTGAAGCAAAAAGCAGCCCAGGATGTCCCTAAATGTTTTTGAGAAAACCAGCTTTTGGACTCGGTCTCCTCATTTCCCTTTTCCTCCTCACACCAAGATGTAGAAGCTGCGGGAAGCAGTTTGATTGTCCGCCCACCTATGACTCTCTCTTTACTTGGTGTAGCTTGTGAGGTGAGTGACATAGGAGTGAGCCATACACAGAACAGTCAGAAGTTTGGCATTAAAACTCAAGTTTTATAAATGTAGTTGTAAGCCAGGCGTGGTGGCGCACGCCTTTAGTCCCAGCACTTGGGAGGCAGAGGCAGGCGGAGCTCTGTGAGTTTGAGGGCAGCCTGGTCTACATAGTGAGTTCCAGCCAAGCTGGGGCTAAAGGGAGAGAGACCGTGACTCAAAAAGACAATAAACAAACAAGCAAATAAATAAATGTAGTTGTATAAAATCAGGAACAATCATTTCTGTGGCGTCTAGAATGAACCTTAATAAACTCTGAAGGAAGCTGGTCACTGGAGAGTACTGTGCAGTCTGTCGTCATCTGCATGAAAAACCCTCGAGCGGAGCTGAAACTGGTTCGTAAAGGAAGATTGTATTTTTCTGCAAGTTGTGATATCATTCCTAGTGACCAAAACCAAGAAAAACAAAAAATTTTAATTGGAAATTTCTGTTTAGTCATAGGATTTCTCTTATTTTATACATCAAAGGAAAGGTTTCGTTAAGTTTTTAAATGGTAAAAACCTTTAATGTTCAAAAGATGTGGACAGGGTTTAAAAGGTGCTCTTTCTAGCACACGCTTTAAAGGGAAGGAAACTGTCCAGATGAAAACAAAGGACTGTGGGACTCTGTGCTGAGGGCAGAGCGCTGCGTTGTTACTCACTCTACTTCCTAAAACATAAGTCACAAAATTACTGCAGTAGAGATTTACCACGCCAAGTGTCCCCAGAACAAAACACGGTCATAGAATTCCTGAAAATAATGCTGAATCTCAGTCTCAGTCACCACAGAGATCTCAATCTGTATCTCTAACGTATCCCTTGATTCTGACCAACATCACCTTTGTCTAAAACAATTGCTCCTCTAGGTTCCCTGCTCTTCTCAAAGGCCTCACCATTTCTAGGCTAGAAACCTTGCTTAGCACTGCAGGCTGCATAACCCTTTATACCATGGCTTCGACTCTTACCTGGCTCTAATTTTCTGTATATATTCTAATATCCATCGTGAGTGCATGCGTGCGTGCGTGCGTGTGATGCTGGGACCGAACCCAGGACTTTGCACGTATCAGGGAAGTCCAACTATCTCTAGCCCTCTTTTAATTTTTTGTTTTAAGACAGGGTCTTGCTAAATTGGCCAGACTGGCCTTCAGTTCTCCTACCTCACCTCCCACACAGCCAGGATGTCAACTTGTCGTGTTACTACTGCTGTGCAGGTAAGATGCATGCAGCTGAGTGGATGTGTTCCTTCTCTATTGCCTGCCTCCTCGATTACAAACTCCATGGAGACAGGGGCCTCTGTGTTATTCACTGTGTATTCCCAGAACCCAGATCAGTGTTTACATGGTGTAGTAGCTCAATAAATGTGCTAAAAAAAATTACTAGTAGCCAGGAGTGGTGGCGCACGCCTGTAGTCCCAGCGCTTGGGAGGCAGAGGCAGGTGGATCTCTGTGAGTTCAAGGCCAGCCTGGTCTACGTAGCGAGTTCCAGGACGCTGGGGCTACAGGGAGAACCTGCTTCAAAAAAAAAACAAAAAAACAAAAAATATTTACTAGATTGGATCAGATGCCACATCTTCTGATAAAGACTTTTTAGTATTAATAGTCTGCATTATTCATATAACTTAGAATGTTGTGTGAAGATCATTCTATACTCAGATTTAGAGAGTGGCACATTACATTTTGGCATCTCCTTTTTTGAAGAGGCTCTTTCAATGGCAGTATGTGTTAACCTTACCTATTTTGAAAAGAAAAATATGCATGGCTAGTTTCTAGGCAGTTAAAAAAGGACAAACTATACTAAAATGTTTTATTACCCAAAGCCAGGAAAGTACACTTGAATAACGACCTGCTATGTCATCCACGATCTCTGTGTAAGTCCTCCTCGCTATGTCCAGAAATTCGCTGATATCCGAGCGCACGGCGTAGCACTTCTGAGTCCTCATGTTCAGGCAGCCTTTCATATACCTCGCATCGTCGTTGATTACTGTTTTAATTTTCTCAAGTATCAGCCCAAACCTACGCTCAAGACAAAACAAGACCTTACAGATAATAAGTCGTATAGCTACTTTCCTTTAAAATGAATCAGAATTAATGACGGTAAACTTTTGTTCAAAGTTATTCAAAATAATAAATGTTTGCGCATAATTAGATCAATTTAAAACTATTTTTTCTGTCATCATTACTCAAAGACAGCATGATAACCCAGACCTAGAAAGACAAACAACACATGTTCTCTCTCACAAGTAGATACTAGCTTTGAATCTTTAGACAGGTGTGCTTCAACTGGAAAAATCCTCAGCGATCAGAAACTAATGAGGGGACACAGGAGTGGCACATGGGAAAGAAGACAGAATGCAGTGCTATAAACTGGAAAGGGGAATAACAGATAGGACAGGTTTCATGGTGTGGGGACTGGGAGGGCAGGGCAGAAGAGGGAGGAAGGGGAGAAACATCCAATACTAAAGGCCTTTTGAAACCTACTACAGACACTTCTTTCAATATATACACATACAATATGAAAAGGAGTTTGAATGTAGTTACCCTATAACAGGGGTTCAATGGCCCTAATAGACACCGGACACTAGCAAATGAAAGCTTAGTGCCAGAAAGGACTTCCTCTTTTGCAGTTCTTGTCCAGAGAGATCCCATAGATCCTCAAATGATACCGGTCATTGCCACTGAAGTTGGTTACCCACCAGAACTGCAAAATAAGACCCTACTGCTGAAGACCCTATGTACCTGAGTCAAAGAACAAACAAGGAGAAATCAAGCTGGTACAGACCTTGAAGTTGCATCTCTGCTGGCTAGCTGTCATAGTACTAGAAGATGCTCTGCATGTTACTGGCAGAGAAAGGCAATCATCAGCCTTACCTAGCTGTGAACCCTGTGAGCTACAACAACAACTGGCTTGGCAAAATATGCCCATGGTGCAATAGTGTCATGAATATTATGGGTGTAACCAAATACCTTCTAATTGGATTTAAGGTCCACTTTAACAAGATGGAGACCATACTTGACACTGTTATTTGGGTCAGGAACCTGTTACCTAATAGGTCACAGACCACTACACTACTACTGCTACTATTATGCTAAATAGACACAGTACTAAACTGACTCCTAATGACTTACTGTTACATACATACACTGGTGCATCTCTCAGCTCTCACCAGAGAAGGTTCTTCTTGCAGCGGATGGCAATTAACACAGAGACCCACAACTGGTCAGTGTGTGGAGAACAGGAGACTGCAGAGTGCTCAGCCTTAAATGAGACACCTATATTGCATTTTCTCCTCCCCAGGTTCAGAAATCATTGCAAGAGAAGGGGTGGAAAGATTGTAAGAGCCAGAGGTTGTAGGATGAATACAAGGAAACTATACTGTCTGGACACCACAGAGTAGTTGTACATATGAACCCACAGTACTTATGTCTGCATGCACAAGACTTGTGCAACCCAAACCAGACAGAGTCCCAGCTTGGATGGGAGGTAAGCAGGAAGCCCCAGCCCTAGTTGAAGATCTACTGGCAATTGACAGATGCTGGGAAAGGGAGTCATTTTTCCATACTGGTGTGATTGGTAGGTTAACCAGATACCAAGAGGTAGACTCATATCCAAGAGCAATTGAGAAACAGATTAGATTTGATAGGCCTTAAAAGAAAAAGACAAAAATAACAGAGGGCGTGAAGTTGAAGTGGAGGGGAAGTAGTAAGGTGTGTGGGGGTTAACTATCATCAAAATGCATTGTATGAAATTCTCAAATCAATAAAAAATATCTAAGAGACTACCAAATAAAATTCAAAAATCTGCTAATAAAAATATCACCCAAATTTATCATAATCACTGGCTGAGTACAAAATGCTCCCTAAAGAACTGTTATAACAATTCTGACCTCATGTGCCTTCATCCAACACACACTTAAACTACATAGCAAGAGCTGTGTTAGTTGCTGGATCCAGAAAAACATATTCCCTGCCCTTGGTGAGGGGAGGATGACTGAGCATGTGCTGTCGACACTGGGGCAGGAACCTCACAACTCTCAGTCATCAAGCATAGCAACTATACAAACCAGCATTCCGATGCTTCCATTTTCCTAACTTCTCAACTATTCTGATCTGTACTGGTTTGATCATTACCTTCAGTGTGTGGCCTGATGTACAATGCAAGTCTTGAATCAATAAAGAGGTTGCTAAGTACAATAGACCCTATTGATCAAGGTATTATTGCTAGTAATTTAATAATATTAAAGCTGGTTTTAGAACTTATTCAATATTTATATCTATTATTTGCTTGCTACATTAGGACTTTCATGATTTAAAAAAAAATAGGAAATGTGATATTAGCAAATGTTCCCATGGAGAATGGCTAGAGAAAGAAACACTGAATGTACACATAGGTTTTAGAGTTTATGCTGTTCTCCTTGTCCATTAGCATAAACAGACAACATACTGCAATCCTATTTGTTGTACTTATGAGACTGAATGTATAATTGAAATTTAATGAATAGTTTAAAGAAACTCAAGCAATTTTTCTATAGAAGACACAGTCTTTAAAATCAGTTATGATCAGGAAGAAAAGTATAACTTATTAACAGTTAAGTGACAAAAACCTCTTGTCTTCCAGGGACCCATAGTAAGCTCTTAATAACGGTGTTTTACAGTTCTTCAATGCAACCTATTTAAAAAAAAAAAAGTTAACAAGTTATGGCATTATTCACATATAGCATTTTATAATTAATACTTTAGTGAATGCTTTCCAGCTTCATTTTCTCTTTTTTATTTACATAAAAACATTTCAGGTACATATGCACTATCTAAAGACAGACTATTTCCTTCCCACCTTTCAGATTGAAAGTACATGATAATAAAGTTACCCAATGCTTCATGGTTATGATTTGTTTTTTCTTTTGTCTCCTAATTAACATCCAGCTACTTACAGAGGTTGGCAGTTACACAGCTATTGTTGTACATTAAAAGTTATCCTACATATTATTTCAGTACTTGGGTTTCATATTTATAAATATAGTAGTCCTCATTCTCATATGGCAAAAATAGGATTAAGGGCTTTATTTTGCTTAATGGGAACCTTAAGTGGTCACCAACTGAATAAAGAGAAATGAGGAGGAGAAAACACAATTAACTTGACTTTCCTTGCTATTTCAATTTGGGGAGAGGCAAATGACTATAACTTTATTTGCTTCTGAATAGAAAAGTAGTATGTGCATACTGATAAAAACTAGGAAGTTCACAGAAGCATGAAGAAGAAAATTAAATCATCTGTAGTTCAATTTCCTTTCCAAAGATAAATACTCTAATATTATGGTACATTTCCTAGCTCTAAAATAAAATATTATATAATCATATGTTCCTTTTTCCCTTATATAATACTATATCATGAGCATTATAAATGTTTCATAGCAATATTTATTTATTTATTTATTTATTTATTTATTTATTTATTTATTTATTTATTTATTTATTTATTTATTTATTTTTGTGTATATGTGTGTGGGCATGCACATGCCACAGCATATATGTGGAGGGCAGAAGATAATTTGTGGGTGTCAAATCTCTCGTTCCACCGTATAGATCCCAGGAATCAAATTGTCAGGCCTAGTAGCAAATGCCTTACCCACTGATCCATCTCACCAGTCTAACAGTGGTTTTTAAAATTCATAATATTCTACCCTGTGGCATTTTTGGTTTTTGCTTTTTGATTGATTTTTATTTTATGTATATGACTATTTTGTCTACATGTATATAAGTGCACCCATATCATGCAATGTCCACAGACGCCAGAAGAGAGTGCTGGATCCCTGGAACTAGAGTTAGGAAGGTTGTTAGCTGCCATGTGGGTGCTGGGAACTGAACCAGGGTCCTCTAGAAGAATAGCCAGTGCTCTTAACCACTGAGCCATCTTGCCAGCCCTCACCTGTGGAATTTGAATTATTGGAGTTCCTTGAATTACTAGTTATATTCTACAAATGATTTCTCACCAATATAAAGAATGTTGCAATGACTATCACTGGACATAAAACTTGGTCAATATTTCTTAATGGTTTTTCTGACAGATTTCTAGAAGTAGCATCACAGTATGAAAAGAATAATGCTGCAGGGGAGAGAAGGGAAGATGCAGCTCAGTGCTTAGCATGCACTAGGCCCTTGGCATGCATCCCCAGCACATCCTCCTAAAAGATGATGTGTGCTTCAAACATCTCCTTTGAAATAAGTACAGTTTGGATTCCTAGTAACTGTTTAAGAAGTTTTCTGAGTCACTGGTCTCTCCTCTCTTCAAAATGGCAGTATCATGAAAGCTGAAAAGCCTTCACTTTAAGAGTCAGGGGCTAAAGAGATGCTCAGTGGTCAAGAGCACTGACTGCTCTTGCAGAGGACCTAAGTCTGGTTGCCAGCACCCACACAGAGGCTAACAACCATCCATAACTCTAGTTCCAGGGAATCCAATGCCCTCTTCCAGTCTCTGACGGTCAGACACAGGTGCCCTTACATGCACACAGGCAAAACACTTACTCATAAAATAAAAATAATTTGGCTGGGCATGGTGCACAAGCCTTTAATCCCAGCACTCAGGAGGCAGAAGCAGGAGGATCTCTGTGAGTTCGAGGCCAGTCTGGTCTACAAAGTGAATTCCAGGCCCAGCTGGAACTATAAGGAGACCCTGTCTCAAAAATAAATAAATAAATTATATTAAAAAACCAAGAGTTTAATCACCGTGAATGGCTGTGGGTAGAATCTTTACAGAAAACTATAGAGGAAAAAAAGGCTGAATGTGGGATACATACAATATTATATTAATATTAATCCTGAATTTGATAAATATGTTTGTGATTATGTAAGAGAACAACACCCTTGTTTATAGGAGAGATAGGCCTTAGTAGTTAGATATGGCAACTTATTTTCAAATGGCTAAGAGTTAATAATAAGGGTAATAATGTGTGTTTATGTGTATACGTTCTTTATATATAAAGAAAATACAGAAATTCAATATACTATTCTTGTAACTTCTAAATTTACATTTTTCTAAAGAAAAAGTTTAAAAGTTATGCCTCATATATTTTAATAACATATATGTGGGAATTACCTTTAAAGGATCCACAAGTTCCAAAGTATGCTTTAAGTAGATTAAATTTGTTATCTTTGAATCAGCTGCATTAACCTATCAAGAAAAAAATCCAAAAGAAGAAAAAAAAAAAAAGAGAGAGAAAGTATCCAAATGTGAGCACCATAGGTTTTAATACAAGAATGGTTTTCCCTTGAACATTCACCTCCTCTCATAGTCCATAGTTTTATAGGATGCCAGTCTAGAGAAGGGCTAGAAAGCAGTAACCATGAGAATAATAACTCTAACACGCAAGTCTCCTGAAGATCTGACTATGGGAGTGTACTGCATTGTATCTAGCTTTCGTTTCTAGTCCAGTGTTTGGTACAATTTAAACTGTAATGGGCAAAGGAGACATAGTTCAGTCCTTAGAGGTGACAAGAGACTAAATCAACCGAAAAAAGCTTCCCAGACAGAGAAAAGTGCTTCCCTCAACTCGTTCTTGTTGCAAGTAAAACAACGTTCATGTCAGGGTCTCTAATTACAGCCTTTCAGAATATATCATTAAGAATGTCATAAACTTTATATAAGTTAAGGTGCTCTCTAGAACTGAGCAGTGGCCCTGTACCTGGGGCCGGCACAGGTACAAATTCAATACAAAGGAAACTAGGGTTTTGGATACTGCACTGATGATATAATGAACTGGACATGAGGCTGTTCTTTTTTGAGGTGCCTTCACTTAGATTCTCATTACAGAGTACTTGGACTGTGACCATGAGGCCCAGTTTAGAAGAAATATGGCAATGAATGTCCATAATCCCTAAGGGGGTAATCTCATATTCGCCTACAGTGGATGCCTGAAAGTAAACAGCAGATTGAAAACAAACTTTACCAAACAGAAGAAAGCATCATTACTGTCACCAGAGAGGGGGGAGAGGGAGAGAGAAGGAAGAAGGGGAAGAGGAAGAAGGAAGAGGGGAGAAAGAAAAGAATGAAACTGTAGTTGTGGCACAGTGGCAGGATCTAGGAACAGACTCCAACACACACAAGTATTTGACTTATGACCGAGGCTGACTGTAGTTCAGTATGAAAGGAACTTTGCATGGATAGTAACAGCACGGTTACTAATCCATCTGAAAGGAACACGATCCTTTCCTTACCCTACACACAAATTAAAAATCCAGATATATTTGTAGATCTAAATAAGATGCAAAACAATACAACATTTGGGATGTATCAGGATACTTCTATGACCGGAGGTCTTTTAACCCTTACAGACTTGTAATTGACGATCTGGCATTCATTAGTCACAAAGCCAAGCTAATAGGCCAAGTTGTTTGCATCTCCCCTGCAGTCTGGCTTTTGTCAGTGCAAAAAATCAAATCACAAGCCTTCCATTCACAAACTTCAGCATCTGCTCGGTTTATGCCTCCCAGAGATGTCCCTGTCTTAAGGACTTCCTGGTGCTGATGTAATAAGCTTGTCCCTTGGAGCCCTTTCCCCTGGCTCCTCCTGTCTTATGGTACTTCTGGCAGCTCTGTGTGGCCTGCTTTGTGTGCACTCTGCTCTTAGGGTAACAAAATCTTCCAACAACACTGGAGTCTCTGCACTTCAGTCACCTCCATAAATCAAAACCCCATGTGTGTAGGCCATACCCTAGGGACAGGTAAAGGCTCCTTAAGTAGAGCACAGCAAGCACTAACTACAAAGACAAAAGGGCTGAAAAATCAGACATACATATTAAGATCTTAGGTTTGGGGGAGAGCACCTGCCTAGCATGCATACCAGCACTGCCAAGTGAATAAAGTATTAAGCTCTTCTAATCATCAAAAATTCACTTTGACTGGGCCAAGACAGGTTCCCCCAAAGCAAGCTTTAAGAAGAGCTTGAAGACCAATGAGTCAATTGATGACAGGCCCAGGCAAGGACATGGGGAGGAAGACATGGAAGCATATAGGATACCAGTGCAGTAAGAACTAGAGATCAGGCCACTGGGCAGCACTGCACTCAGCCTGCTAGGGACTTCAGGGAGACAAGGAACACACTGCAGGAACCACTCTGAGGTCTGGGCCAGGAGCACCGATTCACCAGTCCCTATACAGTACTAAGAACCTGCCCAAGGCATCATTCCCTCCTGAGGTCCAGCATCCTCCCATGTGGACACAAAGTCGTCAGTCTCAGCTGCTTCCAGGAAGAAGCTTCTCTTCAGAAAGATGTGTGTGATACACACAGCTCCCATCCACGATACTCAGGGCAAAGTGCGCCACAGCATCACAAACACCAACAAAGTGCCCATTACCCAAAACAGAAAAGGAACAGCAAAACTGACAGGAGAAAAAATCCAGTAGAGTAAAGGTCTAGACAAGACTTAGTCAGTTACACACATGAAAGGACATGCCATTTCATTAACATGAAAACGCAGAGTAAAGTCACACAATGTGCCATTGTCTATCAGGCAGGATAGATAAGGTTTGGGTGGAAAGCAGTAGGAATTCTCTGACACTGCTGATGGGAGGGTAAACTGGTACATCATGACTGTGGGCAGTGTTCTGCATTGTCTACTGAAGAGGACAGTGTGCTTGCCTTACTTCCCAGAAACATGGTAAGAGGCAGGTACAAGTTTAGTCACATTATTTCTTGACTTTTTTTACACTATAAATTTTTTTTAACAGTGAGAAATTTCACAGTATTGAACCTTGCTAGGACAGGTCTGTCAGTAAATAATACTCATAAATTATAAATGATATATAGAATTGAGAATTTACATTCTAAAATAAAGTGTATGTTTTTAGTTTTTAGTTTAGTTATTAAAGTGCTTTTAAAAAATATTTTAACCTCACAGATGATTTTTGTCTCCAGAAACTAAATTTGGTGCTTTACATTTTCTGTGGGGCACAGGTGAAGGTACACTGGGGCTGTAAAAGAGAAACAGAAAGATGATGGAAAACCTCTTGGTGCCTAGAATTTTATTTTTTTATGTGTATGAGTCTGTTTGTCTGTATGTCAGTGTAACCACGCATGCAATGCCTGTAGAAGGCAGAGGCAGGCATCAGATCCCCTGGAACTGTTGTTACTATGGTTGTGAACCACCATGTGGGTGCTAGAAACCAAATGCAAGTCCTCTGCAAGAGCAGTCAGTACTGAGCATCTCTCCAGCCTCTAGTTACATTATTTCTAAAGTCACTAATTCAGAGTCCAATGGGACTGAAATGGATGAACAGTACACAGACACTACGGGTTTTACAGTCATGAAAATGAAAGCACTAAAGCCACTGCCACAATGTGCTGAGAATGTCACAGACATAATGCTGACGAGAAAAAGCATCTACAAATCAACACAGGAGGACTCCTATGTACAGTTTTGGAAAGAACAGGTAAATTATATTATCAAGATAAATAAGAACATGATTATTACAAAGGGAGAGGAAGAGAACAATGAATGGGAAGGAGGGATGAGCTTTGGACTTGTGGCTGTGTCTCTGAGTACTTCACAGTATGTTCACTTTGTGCTAAGCAGTGGACATAGTGCTTCTGTGTTGTACAGCTTTCTGTTTGTATGTTAGTTCTCATTTCTACTTATTTTATGTGTATGAGTATTTTTGTCTGCATCTATGTAAGTGCACACAGAAAGTCAACCCGGGTGTGTCCAGCTGACACTAAAGCTATCCAGCACAAGAAGTAACAGCATGATGGCTGATTTAGATGGAACATACCAATAACTGCACTGAATTTAAGTGGGAAACCTCAATTAAAAGTTAAGGTATTCAGGACTAGAGAGCTAGCTCAGTGGTTAAGAGCATTGGCTGATCTTGCAGAGGAACCAGGTTCAGTTCCCAGCACCCACATGGCAACTAACAACTGTCACTCCAGTTCTGGCCAATCCGATGCCCTCTTCTTGCCTCCCTGAGTATTGTACACATGGGTAGTGTACACATGGGTATTGTACACATGGTGCACTTATGTACATGCAGGTAAAACAGTCATACACATAAGACAAAAATAAATAAATAGATTTTGTTAAAAGTAAGATATTCCCTAATTAGAGACAAAAATAGATCAAAATATATGCTGCTGACAAGAACACAGCTTTTGTAAAGACACAAATTAAAGGTGCAAGGATGGTAATGACAGTGCATGCTCACACCACTCAAAAGCTACAGTGGCTGTATTAACGCATGGTACAGAAGACTGCAAAGAAAGAAATATTACTAAGATAAAGAGAGTCATTCCATAATGATACAGCTTAAAAATCATCAAGAGACCATAAACAGGGTTGGAGAGATGGCTCAGTGGTTAAAAAGACTCGCTGTTTTGCAGAAAACCTGGGTTTGAATCCCAGCACTCACACAGCAGCTAACAACCATCTGTCACTCCAGTTCCTGGGGATCAAACGCCCTCTTCTGACCTCTGAGGGCATTGTATGTCATAGCTTTAGTTGTCAACTTGACACCCCTGCATAGAGGGAGCCTCAATTGGGGAATTGCCTCCATTGGACTGGCTTGTGGCCATGTCTGGTAGGGTTGGTATTTTCTTGACTGTTGAGTGATGTGGGAGGGCCCAGCCCACTGTGGGTGGTGCCACCCCTGGGGAGGTTGTTTGGTACTGTATAAGAAAGCAGGCCAACCATGGGCCAGGGGAGCAAGCCAGTAAACAGCGTTCCTCCATGCCCTGCACGTCAGGTCCTGCCTCCAGGTTCCTGTCTTGAGTTCCTATGTTGGGTTCCCTCAGCAACGAACTGTGACCCAGGAGATGTAAGCTAAATAAATCCTTTCCTCCCCAAATTGGTACAGATCAGAGTGTTTTGTCACAGCAATCAAAGACAAACTAGAATAGGTGCACTCACACACATATGTATGAGGCATAACGCTCATATTCATATAATAAAAATAAATAAAAAATTTAAAGAGACCATAAGCAATCCCAAATGTTCATGTACCTAAAAACAGAACTTCAAAACACATTATATAAAAACTAAAAGAACCAAGGAAAAAGTCACACCCATATCTGTAGATGGAGATTTCAACATCTTTCCCTCAATAATTGATAGAAAAAATAGACAAAACTCAGTATGGATATGGGATTTTTAAAATGGTAATGAAGCTGGGCATGGTGGCACATGCCTATAATTCAGCACTCAGGAGGCAGAGGCAGGTGGATATTTGAGAGTTCAAGGTCAGCCTGATCTACAAAGTGAGTTCCAGGCCAGCAGGGGCTACAGGGTCTCAAAAGGACCAAAAAAAAAAGGTCATACTCACCTTATTAACTGACATCTACAGAACAGTATAGCCAAGATTAACGAAATGCATATTCTTTTAAAGTTCTCACAGACCATAAACCAACACAGGCCTTCTTCTGGACACTAAAGACCAGTTTTGATAAAGTTAAAGGGATTTAGACTACCCAGCCTTTGTCTTCTGTACACGAGGAGGTTAAACACCAGTAACAGAAAGGTATCTGGGACTGGCAAAATGGCTCAGCAGATTTAGAGACCGAAGCCCAAGTTCAGCTGAGACCCACATGGTGGAAGGATGCAGGGTGCAGGATGTATATGCACAAATACACATACAAATAAAAGAATGTAATAAAAATGTTCAAGAGAAAATTGTCTGGAGAGCTCCCAAACACTGGAAACAACACACTTCCAAATACCACCCTCCCTGACAAAAACATAGAATTTGGCATATGAGAAGTGTTTTTAATTTTTTAATGAAAATATATAAAAATTGTGGAGTATAATGAAAACATTCTTTATAATATGAAAATTTGTAAGACTAAACACCCATTTTAGAAAATAAAATGGTTTCAAGTCAATGACCAGCTTCCACCTTCAGAACCTAAAGGGAGAAGCAGTAGACAGAAAACTGACAACACCAAAAACAAGTGAGACAGGAACGGGGGAGCAGAGAAATCAACGGCAGCAGCAGCTGGCCTCCCCCGGATGCCCATCAGCAGATGCCTGGGTAAGGAAATGAAGTGTGCACATGACGGAATTTTATTCAGCTGTAAAGAGTGAAATCTGTAGGAAAAAGATCATGCTAAGTGAATGAGCCAGACTCAGAGTGACAACTGTCACAGGCAGAAGAATCTAGATTTTAACAGTGTCTAAACTGAGGAAGGAACAAAGGAGGATAATGGGGAAATATGAACAATGAATAGGAAAATGTCCTAATGACACCTGTTATTTTATACACTAGCTAAAATAGTAGGACACCGAGCATCTGAGAAGAGCAATAGCACTAATAACCCAGCAGGGCAGCTAAGAGGTCCGCTGACCAGCAACAGGTGTGAGAATGAAGCTCTGAAATTCCACACACAAAGAGGATAAGGAGGGCACTGTCAACAATTTTATGGCACTAAATTTGAAAAGTCTTTGAGAGACTCAACTTACCCCGCTTCATTTAACCCAAAGAGCACCATATCCATTTAAGGAGAATTGTTTTAAATCCCTACAAAAAATTATAGGTTCTAATGGCTTTGCTCATAAAGACTGTCAAACATTCAAGGAAGAAACAACAGCTCTAAACAAACTCTACCAGAAACTAATGCGGGAGTCATCCCAAGGTCATACTACAAAGCCAGTCGATTTAATTCCACATACCACTTGTATATACTGAATTATAAAGTGTTTCAGTTATCAAAGAAACTTCCCACTATGTGCCTGCCAAGAACAAACATTTTCTACCTATCAATGCTTTTATTAGCATTGAACCTTAATAGTGCTTTCTCTAAAGCATAAGGCTTTCCAAATATATGTTAGGTTTCAAAGAATTTGCTAAAATAATCACATTTTAAGTTTTACTAATGCACATGGCTTCTTTTCAAGTATATGTATATAAATAGACATGCATTTAACTAAATATTCTTCGGTTCATCCTGAAAGGAAGAATGTAAACCATCTATTATGTCCTTCATTTATAAGTGCTAATTAAAGTTGAAAACTACTCTGAGAAGATGTTTCTTTCTTGAAGATACTCGTATCTGAAGACTAATCAAAATTCATTTGATGGTCGCTTTTAAGAGCAATCTGTTCTCTCTAGAACTAACATAATTCTGTTACTCTTAGAAGGTAAATGTCATTATAGTTTAATTTTGTTGAAAATTTTATGTATTATATATTTAAGTCAATATTTGATGAGTGAAAACACAGCAATTCTTCAATTACTTACGCTTTTTACTGTATTATAATATGGGGTAAAACTTTTTTTAAGTTACCCATTAAAAGGTATGAAACTGCTCTGGCTATCAATAAGGGGGAAATTACCCATGACATTTTTATATTTTACCATCACTACCCCATCAAGACAAGTTGTATCCTGTACACACGATAACGTACCACAAAGTCTATCTATAACACATACCGTGTCTTGCTTTGGAATTTGGACTAAAACAGAAAGAAGCTGCTCTGTATCGAGGAATCTTGATATGACTGAAAGAGAAAAATGTGAGCATTGAAATCTCATGGGACAGCTGGAAACACATCATGTAAAGTACTAACTCTGAATACAAATGTCACCGAATGATAAAATAAAGCAGTTTTCCTGAACTATGTGCTTCATCTTCTCCCACACACACCGGCAATAAAATGATAAATTCTACTGTTCTGTTCCTAATTTTGATTATGCACAATCTTTTCTCACAGCCTGACACTGCTGATCAATTTGCTCTTCCTGAAAGTTCTCTGGGTTTTAGGTGTTGCCTGTCAGAATTTTCTTCACCTTTTGTTTTTGCTTTTGGTGGTACTGGGGGCTGAACCCAGACCCCTGCTTGGTAAGTGTTCTACCACTAAGTGATGCTCTCTCCACATTTTACCTTTTCAAAAAAAATTATGAGTATGAGTGTTGTGTGTGCAAATATGTGTACCATCTGTATGCAATGCCATGGAGGCCAGGAGAGGGCATCTGATACCCTGGAACTGGACTCATGGATGATTGTGAGCTGCACATGGGTGCTAGGAACCAAACCCAAGTCCCCCACAAGAGCAGCAAGTGCTCTTAGCTGCTGATCCATCTCTCCTGCCCCACCCTCCTTTTCCTTTTTTAACCATTTTGATCTTTTTTTTCCCTTATCCTTACAGAATGCTTAGCTTAACAGCATAACTCGATCATGAAACCTTCCTAGAATGTTCAAGTAAACCTTTCCCTGAAGAGATGTAAATAAGCATCTACCATTTCCTTAAACACCAACAATAAAAGTACAGTTCCGCCAGAGTCCAACTTGAGGAAGCAGTGAGCTGACTGGATGGAATTCAGGGCTTGGGTGACCATGAGGCTGCTGCACCACCACAAAGCTCACCTCAGCATGGACGAGGACTTCTCCCAGCTGCAAAGATGGAGTCCTCCCCCAGTGAACCTTCCACAGACCATATACTCTAGCACTCGCCAAGACCAGGGGCCATATTCGATTAGGGTACGATTACAGACAGCTGGCTGGGAGGTTCAGGAGGGAGTGACTAAGATGAGGTGAGGGTCCAATGACCCTCCCTACACCCCTTCATCTAGGAGGGGGCATCAGCAGTCACTGCAGATCTTGACGTTCTCTTGCAGGTAGCTGCAGCAGCTCTGATGAAGACGGCTGTTATTTTTGGAGGACAGCACTACACACCTAACTTCTCTGGACTTCAGTTGTCCTCATTGTTAGGTGAGCTAGCACCTATCTCCCAGAGTTGCTGTGAGGATCAAGTGAGATAACACACCAGGACCAATCCATGTGCAGACTTAAGAGAATGAGACTGGTCCTTTCTTCCTCCTCTCCCCAAATTTATCACTACTACTAGAACATTGTTTCAGTCTCTGCCAGCCCCTGTTACCTCAAGGAAAAACAGCAAACCCCTCAACATCACATAAATGCCCATCACAAACTAGCTTCAACCCTCATTTCCTGTTATTCCCCAAGCCTTCCAGTCAAAAGTAACTATTAACCATGCCTTAAATACAGCATGAGCTTTTACAACACAAGAACAATTACAGAAGCTGAAACCAACTTACCCTCATCAATCTCTCAGAAAAACAAGGGTACCCTAAAAAGTAATCACTGTTCAAGACCACGGTCAACAGCATGCACAGCAGGTGTTTTTTTTTTTTTTAATGTGACTAGGCTCACACTAGGGCCTTGAATATGCTAGCGAAGTGTTCTACTGCTGAGTTACACCCCAGCCTGTTGCAGATCTTTATCCTGGCCCTGGCCTCCAGAACATTGTTGTTATTCCTAGGCACATGAATAAACCCTGCATAGGCATGTTCCCTTTATTATGAATATCATTCAAGGCAAAGATTCTACTGTCACCAAAATCTTACTTAGTCCCTTAAGTAGGCTGAACATTATTCCTGTGAATACCACCTGGATTCTGTCTTTATCCCAGCTCGCTTCTTTGTGTCCACATAAAATGCTCAAGAATTACTGCATGTATCATACTGTGTTCTACCTCTCTCATGTGGATGTGAGGTCCTTGAGGACAGAAACCTACAGCTTTATCTTATTCATCTTTTCATCCCTAACACCTATAGAATTTCTATAATAAACTAGGTGCTGGAATTCTTATAAAAAAGTGAAGTTTGGGGTCTGGCAAGATGGTTCAGTGGGTAAAGACACCTGCCGCCAAGTCTAATGACCCGAGTTCAGTCCCTAAAGCCATACAGTAGAAGGATAAACAACTCCAGAAGGCTGTCCTCTGACTTCCAGATGCATGCCATGGTGCACACGCCCTCACACACAAATAAACATAAATTGTTTACCTTAACTTTGGATTCTTATACTTTAATAGAATAAAAATTAGCCACCCACCATCTTCTATGTCCTCACTTTATTATAAAGGTAAGATAAATTATAAATACATAAAACATAAAACATTTAACATTATTAGATACCAATCTGAAGTTTTTGTTATAAGGAATTATAAAACTTAAAATATGTAATATTAAAGTTTCAAAGAAAGCCCAAGTTTTTCATCAAAATATTACATAAGTCTTTTTTCTTTTATTATTTTTATTTCATCTTATGTGTATGAGTGAAATGCTTTCATGCATGTTGTGTGTCTGTGTCATGCAATGCCCATGGAAATCAGAAGAGGGCATCAGATCCCCAAAAATTGGAGCTGTTATCTGCCATGCGGGTGCTAGAAACTGAACCCAGGTCCTCTGCACAGCAGCTGGTGCTCTCAACTGCTGAGCTATATCTCCAGGCTCTATATAAAACAGTCTTTATCATGGGAATACAAAAAACAGAATTTTCAACAGTTTCAATAATGAATCAAACAAATACAAACATCTGTTTTGCTCTAGCCTTATATGGTCACCATCAAGGCAAACATGCATTTACAACACAGTATACAGTACCATATAACATGCTATGGGAAGCATATGGAGAAGTTTATAGAGGTGGGGAGTCAGAGAGGCCTCTGGAAAAACGCATCTGGACTGGAATGGTAAAGGACGAGCAGTAGTTTGCTAAGGTGAAGCGTACTAAACGGGCTTTGGGGAGGAAAGAGGAAGACTCGAGGCAGAAACCACAGAGCAGCAACACCAGAAAGTGCAGCTATGTTCAGGCAAATGCTCTACTGCACTGAAGGCAAAAGAGATGCTGTGGGAGATGAGAGGGGAGGAGCCAGACTGTAGGGTTTGGACTCATGCCACAAGTAAAAAGAATAAAGAACTTTATGCAGAGGAGTGTACAACTCCCCTCCCCCAAAGATGCTTTACTTCCTAACCCTGAACTTGTGAACATTGTAACTGGTAAAGAGTTTCTAAATGGGATCTTCTAGACAGATAATTTTGGATCGTGTGTCGATTCTTCCTATGAGAGGGTCAGAGTCAGAGAGAAAAGATACAGGCCAAGTCAAAAGCAGAGAAGATACTAAGTGCTGGCTTTAAAGACAGAGGAAGGGTTATGGCAAGAACACAGGTAGGCTTTAGAACCTAGGGGAAAAAGAAAATGGATTTTTTTTCCTACAGACTTGCTGTGTGACTTCCTGGAGAGACATGAAGAAATGCCAGACCAGGGAAGGATTCCATCCCAGTCCAGCATGACTCAGAGCATCCTGCAGGTACTTAGAGTGCAAACAACCTGTGGGCGACCTATGGGCAGCTACATCACACAGAGGTCTCACCCAGTTAAGTTTTCTCTCTTATCTAGTCCTGGGGCAGGGAGGAGACTCAGGAGGATCCCCAGAAGGCCTTCTCGCCCCCATGACGGAGTGGTGACCAGAAGATCTCATGAGGGGCTGATGTGGCTTGTGGCTGATCACATCTGGTCTGCTTCCAAATGGCAATAGTCATGACCAGATCAGAGGACAGCTCCACTATAAGCCTACAGAAGGAATGTGGACCTGCTGACACATTGATTTCAGTCCACTGAAACTGACTTTGGATCTGCAGAACTAATAGATTCATGGTAATTCATCATGTCAGCAGGAGGAAATGAACACAGCATATGCTCAGACTGATGCTGTCAATGGATCACAATGACACATGAGAGATGCCAGGAAAAGCAAGGTAGGAGGAGCAAGGCGAAGTAGGAGGCTATTGCAATAAATCAGACACTGGCCAACAGCATACTGTGCTGGACCCCAGCAATGGGGACAGAAAAGCAGGCACATCCACAGGGCGCACAGGAAGGAGACTGCAGAGTCTGGTGATGGAGTATGGGAAGGGAGATCAAGGATGGCCTCCAGGTATGTGGCATGTGTCGAATGTGGATAGGAATCTACCTGCTGGAATCGACATGGCAATTTGCCAAGTTCAATTTTGAGCGCTTCAGAAACATCTGATAGGTACTGTCTTAGTCTATTTGAACTGCTATAAAGCACCATAGACTGGGCGGGGGGCTCTTGAAAACAACAGAGACGTCTTGAGCTTAGTTTGGGAGTTTGTGTCGGGCCCCTGAGGGCTGGCGTGCAAGTGCACTCATGTCTAAGAACATGCATCCAGCAAGACCTAGAGAAATGAGACAAGGACAGGCAGAGCAAACAGCAACAAGAACACACTTTCCGCTGTGTGCACTGGCACATTCCTGTCTGTAATATGGAACTCTAGAGACTTAGAGTTATGGAACTCTAGACACTATCTCAAAGAGAAGGCTGTGACTCCAGTTCCTGGAGGTCCCATGCCTCTGGTCTCCAAGGGCACCCACACACATGTGGTACACATAAAGTCACGTAGCATGTGCATATAAACATTATAAATTAAGTAAATCTTTTAAAAAGATGAGAGGAGGGGAAAGGAAGAAAGAAGGGAGAGGGAGGAGAGAGGGAAGGAGAGGAAGGAGAGAAAAAGAATGAGAGAGAAACAATTTCTGGCAAAATCCTGTGGAAATAAGTCCAACCGAGCCTACAGAGGAGTCTGAAGTCAAGTTACACCAAGTGTGAGAGAGCTGGGCCTTCACACAGCATTCATCGGTCCAAGCACATTACTCTGGGCTTGAAAGCAAGGAGCTCTGCTAGTTCAAGAGCAGCCTTCAGAAGGCTTGGGTGTGCCACAGAAACAAAGCACACAGTGATGTAATCGAGACCCAGGAGACTGAGGAGCCAGCCAGCAACTGCAGCAGTGCCCCTGACAAAAGCCATGTCCGGGAAGCCGTGGGCACAGAATCCGCACATTGAGGTGCAAAGAAGACAGCGGGTGTGGAAAATGTATCTTTCAACAAGTTTGGCTAGAACAGAAGAAGGAGAAATAAGGTGAGCACCAGAGATGAAGTCCAGGGTGAGTTCAAGTCCTCATGGAAGGAGTCAACAGATGGAATGATAGACCCAAGAGATGCTACAGCATAAAGACCAACATGGACACTGCTTCCATGGGGCACAGGGCAAGTGGGTGGGGGTGCTGTACTTTCAGTAGCACAAAGTTTAAAACATTTAATAGTTGGAGACTGACCAACTTTACATGATGAAATGGCTTGACAATTCTGACACGTTTTATGCTAATGCTAGATACAGCTAACAGGGTGTTGCTGTGAACAAGAAAAAGATTAGCAATTAAAAAATGTCCTTTTTTACCTTTCCCATCATCTCACTAAATATACAAGGAAATGTAGAAGAAAAAGTATGTACCCAATGACAATGGAAATACAGAGAAAGGACAACACAGTGCTAAAATTTTGAGGGAATTACACTAACGTGAATTTGGAACTATTCTAAAGAAAGCTTACTCTGGCTGTAAATGCCCAATATATTTTTATGTACCAGATCAGACCACCAGAACACAAGGTGATATATTTAGGGGAATGGAGGCACGGAAGGCAGACCAAATTGCTGACAACCAGGAAGTAGACTAAGAACACCGTATAGAAATTGTCCTTCCATCTGCAGATTTAAGGAGAAAATTGCTGAGCATGTGCAATACTTTTCCATAGAAACCCTGGGAAACGAATATCCTCTAGTTGTTGACAAATACTTAGTCTGATAAATCTGCCCTGCTTTGAGGATTACTGATGTGCTGGATAGCTTTAGTGTCAACTTGACACACCTGGGTTGAGGGACCCTCAATTGGGGAATTGCCTCTATTGGACTGGCCTGTGGCCATGTCTGAGGGCATCTTCTTGATAAGTGATGTGGGAGGGCCCAGCCCACTGTGGGGTGGTGCCACCCCTGGGCATAAGTTGGCCTGTGTTGCATAAGAAAGCAGACTGAGCAGGGGCCAGAGGAGCAAGCCAGTAAGCAGCGTTCCTCCGTGGACTGTGCTCCAGCTGCTGCCTCCAGGTTCCTGCCCTGAGTTCCTACCTTGGGCTCCCTGATGAACTGCGATCTGGGATATGTAAGCTGAATAAACCCTTTCCTCCCCAAGTTGGTATTGGTCAGAGTATTTTGTCACAGCAATGAAGAAACAAACCAGGACAGAAATTGTTACCAGAGAGTGGGGTATTGCTGTGACAGACCTGACCTTGGTGTTTTGGGGACTGTGGAAGTGTTTGGAACTGTGGGCTGGAAAAGCCATTGCGTGCTTAGAGTTTGTTGCAGTGGAGCTTGGAACAGTTACACTGAAAGAGTTGTAGATGATGGAGGCCTGGCTTGTGAAGCTCCAAAGGGAAATGGAGACTATCAGGGCTGTTCGTGTGAGATTTTGGATTGAGAATCTGTGGGTTCTGTTCGGCTGGGGCTGAAGGAATCAGCTGTGAGTAAGAAGGGACCAGAACCTGAAGTAAAACCTTTGCTTTACTGGGAAAATTGATGCTGGTTAGCTGGGGCTGAAAAATCAGCTGTAAGTAACAAGAGACCAGCATCACTGTGGTGGAGTCTTCTGGGAGGAATTTCCTCAGGGTCAGCACACAGAGGGGACCCGCACCTCTATTTCAAGCTGGAAGCAGGACTTGGTAATGTGTAAGAGTCTCCTGCATGGTTCTGGTGTTGAAAGTGTGAAGGGGTCACAGAGAGCCAGCTGAGGCTTTGGCACTCTGAGAGGCCAGGAAAAGCCACAGGTGAAAGTGCAGCTTCATTTGCAGTGAAGACCCCAGGATTGAAGGGGTCATGGAGAGATTTTGAGACTTTGCACCCCAAGAGGCAAGAAGAGGCCATTGGTGAAGGTGTAGCCTCAGTTTCAGTGGAGACCCCAGCTTTTTGGAGATGTTGGGACCATGGGACAACCACCAAGGACAGCAGTAGGTGTGGAATGGAGCTGGCCTGGGTCTGCAAGATGAGCTGAGTGTGTCGTGGACTGCAGAGTCAGAGCAGTGGAGCTACCAGTACCCTTTGGAGCCCAGAAGATCGTGAGTAAATCCCAGATGTCCAGCCTTGAGCTACTTTGCTGGACTTAGGTTTTGCTTAGGTGTGCCTTATTCTTCCCTTTGAAATAAGACAGACAGTACTTATTTTGGATTTTATAGAAGCCCACCCACAGTAAATAGACTTTTAAAAGACTATGGACTTTTAAGTGCTTGGATTTTTTAGGGATTTTGGGGTTAAGTCTGTACTGTCTTATGTTGTGATATTAACATATCTTGGGGACAAAAATTGGAAAGTTTATGATTTAATAGTGATGTTTGTGTGTCAAGCTGGCAAGGGGTCAATTGTGCTGGATAGCTTTAGTGTCAACTTGACACACCTGGGTTGAGGGAGCCTCAATTGGTGAATTTCCCCTATTGGACTGGCCTGTGGTCATGGCTGTGGGGCATCTACTTGATGAGTGATGTGGGAGGGCCCAGCCCACTGTGGATGGTGCCACCCCTGGGCAGGTGGGCCTATGTTGCATAAGAAAGCAGGCTGAACAGGGGCCAAGGGAGCAACCCAGCAAGCAGTGTTCCTCCATGGCCTGTGCTCCAGCTCTTGCTTCCAGGTTCCTGCCCTGAGTTCCTACCTTGGGCTCCCTGATGAACTGTGACCAGGGAGATGTAAGCTGAATAAAGCCTTTCCTCCCCAAGTTGGTATTGGTCAGAGTATTTTGTCACAGCAATGAAGAAACAAACCAAGACAAATGAGAAAAAGAATTACAAGATCTCTGTTAAAAATAACCCCAGGGGCTGGCACAGGGCCCACACACCTCTCAGTTTTGTCCAATATTGATGCCCCTCTAGAAAGAAATTCATTTACTTCAGAAAGTAGCTGCCTTCTGTTTGCTGCACAGAAGACGTGCTCCATCTTTAACACAAGCATAATCACATGGACAGAGTGATGGAGACAGGAAAATAGTAGGAATCATCATAAGTGAAACTGTGACCCTCTCCTGTGAGCCTGGAACTGTGATCACTTCTTGTGAACCTAAAGCTGTGGTCCCCTCTAGTGAGCCTGGAGCTGTGATTCTCTCTCATGAGCCTGGAGCTGTGGTCCCCTCTGTGAGCTGAAGCTGCGGTCCCCTCTGTGAGCTGGAGCTGTGGTCTCCTCCCGTGAACCTGGAGTTGTCATTCCCTCTCATGTGCTGAAGCTATTGTCCCTTCCTGGGAACCTGGTGCTGTTACCCTTCACATGAGCCTGGAGCTTTGGTCCTCCACCAGCAGCTACAGTTGCACATTCCTCTGGTGCTGGGCTGTTGGTGGAGCAGGGTGGAGGACAGAAGACTTCCTGATGTTGGGCAGCAGTTTCAGTGTCTCTGAATTGCTGCACTGCCCACATCCCCCTCCCCCCAGGTCCCCGGTGGTTCATGGCAGTGGCTTTGCCTCTGGGTTGGGCTTATGTTGCAACAGGGGAGGTCTCTGCCATTTGCAGAGTCTGGTCTTGACCTCACATGTGGTCCTGGGCACCCAGGCCTTCATGCTGGACCACTCCTACTCCCAGACACAAAGAGGTTTTCCATTATTTTTCTATCACTCTTCTATAGCACTAGTATACTTTCACCTATGCCCTACAGAATTCTAGAGATGTTGGCTCACACCTTTAATCCCAGCACTCGGGAGACAGAGGCAGGCGGATCTCTGTGATTTCAAGGCCAGCCTGGTCTACATAGTGAGTTCCAGGACAGCTGGGGCTACAGAGAGACCCTGTCTCAAAAAGACAAAAAAAAAATCAGTCTGGGAAGTTGTTGTTTTTTTTTAAAGTACTGTAATAACTAAACTGAAAAAATTTTCAACTAAAATTATGTAATTATAATTTAGAATGTAGACTTGCAATTCTATATGTCTACTATCATTTTTGAGTATTAGTTCAGTAAATAATAGCAAAAACTATTATTAAAACTGTACTATCAACCTTCAACAATAATGTGAAATTTGTCACTATTGCACTCACTCCCTTTCCAAATTGTCCAACCCATACAAATAAAAAAGAACCCACAGAAAAGGGGAAAAACACCATCCAGAAAGTTAAAATACAAAACATATCCCTGAATACTTTCAATACTCGAATATATACCTTCAGCCAGACGTGGTGGCGCACACCTTTAATCCCAGCACTCGGGAGGCAGAGGCAGGTGGATCTCTGTGAGTTCAAGGCCAGCCTGGTCTACATAGTGAGTTCCAGGACACCTGGGGCTGCAGGGAGACCCTGTCTCAAAGACAAAAAAAAAAATGTATACCTCACTGACTTACCTTTCAGAAACTTATCCAAAAAAGCTCAAATAAACAGCTACATTTTTTAATAATTTGTATTTATAAAATTAGTTTGGAAGTCATCACATGGTACATGCCTATAATTCTAGCATTTGGGAGACTAAGGCCAGAAGATCACAATTTCAAGGCCTTCCTGGGCTACACAGTGAGTGTCTAATAAACAAAAAAGGAGTAAAACTCATACCCGATTGAAGGCCAAAGAAGAGCTCCTCATCCTGAAGCAGCTCCTGAACACAGTCCAACCTCATTGTGATGGTTTCCACATCAACCAGGGGTTCCAGTATATTAGAACGTAGCCTTCGACCCCCTCCGGCAGTCTTAGTATAATTTAAGACACCAAAGAGAGTGTGATTATTCCTTTGAAAACACAAGTTGGAAATTTCATTAAGGAGACAAAGAAAAATCCAAGATAATTTTATTTTAACTTTGTAATTAAATAATCCTATAATCTACATCAGTGATCCATAAACTTTATTATACAGAGAAATTACATAAGACTCCTAATTCAGTAAACCCGAGTTAAGGCCTAAAACCCACATTTTGCTTTCTGGTTTTGTTTGGTTGGTTATTTTAGGCAGGATTTCATGTAGCTCAGGCTGGTCTTAAACTTGTTATGTGTTCAGCATGACCTTGAAGTTCTGCTCCTCCTTCGTCCACCTCCCAGGTGGTGGTAGTATAACATGTGCTACCATGCCTAGCTTGACACCTGACATTTTGAGCAAGCTTCCAAATATGTCAATAAGCCACATGATGATCAATGAGGACAACCGTATCTTCTATGCTCAGCCTGAGCACACAAGACAGACATGATTCCCACCTCCGTGGACTTCATAGGTTAGTGACTGATTGAAATAATTTTTATCAGTCTACTGGTTGTGACAAAAAGTTGGGAGAGATAAAGAGTAGCATAATCATATGTAGAAAACTAATTTGGGGCCAGTGAGACAGCACAAAAACCAAAGGCACTTGCCACCACGCCTGACCACCTGGGTCAATTCCCAAAATCTACACGGTGGAAACTGGCTCCCACAAGTTGTCCCCGGACCTCCACATGTATGCCATGGTACACGTGTGTGCACATACACACACCCCTGCACATAAATAGATAAAAATGTAATAAAACTGTGAAAAAGAAGAATGATCTCGGTAATAGAGAGCGCTGAAAGAATGGGGGGTGGGTGCTGTGGGCTGAGGAAGGAGGCTTCCTCTATGTATCAGTCATCCTAAGGCCTCAGTGGCAAAGGAGGCAGCCAATGCAAAGGTGATGAAGGGATGGGAATCCCGATACAGATACCCAGGTACCGAACAGCTTGCACATGCTGGGGAGGAACGCTGAGCACTCATCAACTAGCAACCGTGCTGGCAGATGCTGTTACTAGTGCAGTTTATAACAGAAGGAACTGAAACACTGGGGATGAAGTCATTTCTCCAGTCTCCAAGTACACGGCAGGTGGCAAAATGAGCCCTCAACGTCTGGCTCCAGAACCAAAAGGATCAAGATTGGGGGTGCCTTAACATGGGGTAAAAGGGACAACTTTTACCCTTTTACCCTGCGTTCCTTGGGATCAGGCAGAGGTTTGGATTCTCTTCTGAATGCGTCAGAAACCACGGGAAGGTGCTATGCTGGATGGATTTGGAAGACCTGCTTTCTTGCTAAAGTGAAACTAGCTGCTATGTTGAGAATGTACTCTACTAAGAGGGCAGGATGAAGGCAGAGAGACAAGCCAGGAGACTATTCTGTTAGTCCACCCTACAGGTGACAGAGGTTTAGGTTAGGGTGTTAGGCTCAGAAATGGTTAAGAAGTGATCCAGAGCCTGAGAGGGTGGGTTCTGACCTCCATCAGTGTAGCGGCTCTGATCTCAGCAGACCGCCAGGGTTCTGGTTTCCCTCTGGCAGAGGGCCTGAGAATGCAGGGGACTGCCTGAGAGCCCCCAAATCTTGCCTCCACATGGTGGTCCTTTTAAAAAGATGATGCGGTCCCCTCTGCATGAAATAGCTACCATCATCACTTCAGCTGAGCCTGATCACGAAACAATTGGACTTGTTGACAGTTGTGCTCATTCATTAAAGGAGGGCCAAGCAGGGTCATTGGATCCTCATCGGATTATCCAGCCACTCTTCCCAGCCAACTGTATGTAATTTGACCCCAATCACACACGGCCTCTTGGATTTTGGGAGGGCTAAAGTATACAGTTTGGGGAAGGCTTCAAAGAGAAGGCATGACCCATGCTGGGTAAAGGCTACCCAGCATGCAAACCCTCAGGTCATACATACACCTCAGCAACCCCTCAGTTATCTCAAAACCTTTTAGAGGGAACTGACACTGATTCTAACCACTCCAACAGCTATCAAAATACCTGAAAGCAAATCCTGAATCCATCACTCTCAAGTCCAGCCTTGGAAGACAAAAGAAAAATGAGGAGGAACCCAATAGAGGGATGCTTTTGGAAGCCCTTGTCAAGAAATTCCAATGGACTCTCATATGAACATTTGGAAAATTGCCCTGTTCGGACTTTTTCCTAGTTCCTTGTCTACAACTTGTAATGCTAATTACTCTTGCCTTTACTTCTCCTTCACATCTCCTATTCAAGATTCAAGGACTTTCTTTTCGCCTTAGAGATAAGAGTTATGCAATTTGGGAGTCTTTTAGATAGATCCACTGAAGGGGTACCCCAGCTGCCTCACCCTGCATCCCTGTTGAGCATGGAAGAAGCCAGAGTGGCCTGCGTCCCAATTCCCTATTGGCAATTTGGGTAACCCCTTCAGAGGATGGTGTGATAAGAATAGGAAGTAGGAATTGGCTAGGCAGTTAGGGTAAAAAGACCCCAAAGAAAAGTAGCCAGTTTCTTGGCTAAA